TATAGGGTATCTGGTCCTTCAGGTCTCTAATAGGGTGATAGAATGATTCTATAGGGTATCTGGTCCTTCAGATCTCTAATAGGGTGATAGAATGATTCTATAGGGTATCTGGTCCTTCAGGTCTCTAATAGAGTGATAGAATGATTCTATAGGGTATCTGGTCCTTCAGGTCTCTAATAGGGTAATAGAATGATTCTATAGGGTATCTGGTCCTTCAGGTCTCTAATAGGGTGATAGAATGATTCTATAGGGTATCTGGTCCTTCAGGTCTCTAATAGGGTGTGTAACATTGGTTGGGCTGAAAATGTCCTATTAGCTGTTCTATGAGCCCTAATGCAGCCTGGTTAAAAGCCCTAGAATGAAACCACAGCTTTTCTTCCTTTTATGGTTTGATCATGAATATTTAGATGAGCTGTGCTCTGATTGGTTGGTTTACAACGAGCCAAGCTGCTGAGCAAAGACGCATCATAGCAACAAGCACTCACTCACTGAAACATCTGATTGTAGATATGGTAGGGGGACCAGACGTCCTCTTTTTCCTGGAAATGTTCTACTTTTCAAACCTAAAAAAATATCTGGGGGGGGGGGGGTGGATTTCAAAATCATCCAGGATTTTAGTCGACTACAGTGCAGCAGAGCCGAGCCGTCAGCTCGGGGGCTGGTCCGGGAACCCCGGCAGACGGGGGCAGGGAGCCAGCGGGAGACGGAGCGACCGAACCCGACCCGGTGATGGTAACCTGGACTCCGGCTGCCCCGTGCTTCCCCCCGCCTGCCTTTCCAGCCCCCAGCCCCCTTCCTCCAGCTGAGGACGGGTGGCTCATGGCTCTCTGCTGAGGTCCGGTGCAGTCAGCGGCCCAGTCCACAATAAAGCTGGATGTTAATTTCGGGGCGTGACAAAAGTAGAGACCAGAATCAAATAAGGCAACATCCCAGAGTTTACGTCAACTCGTTGCTTCGTTTGGATTCACCTGTTTTAAGGTGGAAGTTTAGAATAGTGACATTTGCAGAGAAAGGAGGAGTTAATGGTTTGAACTTCCGTCTATTTCTCCCACTGAACTATTGTTATTCATCTATGACAATGGAAACTAGGTTTGCATTCTATGAAACCTTTAAGTGGATTTTTTGTACTAAACTAAAGGGATAAACACACATCAGACGTCTTGTGCGTGCTTATCGACTATGTGTATGCTGGTCTGACGGGGTATGCTGGTCTGACAGAACACCGGGTCACATCTTATCCCATCATATGAAAAATCCCAGCGCTTCCTTAGAGACACGCACCTCTCTACTTCTTTTTTTTACTTAAATTTAACGAACGTTTTAATTCTGAGATGTTTTAGCAGATCTAAAGCATCAGACTGCCCTCCTTTCAGTTCAGCCTGTTAACTTTTTGATTAGTGTTGTTTTATTTTCTGTGTTACCGCAGTGGCAGCTGCTACTGAAGTTAGTTTGACCCACTTCTCTGTGGCTTTGTGGGCCGAGTTTCCCTTTGTTGTTTAACAAGCCGGTTGGCTTCACTTTAGGATGTTTGTTCCCACTTCTGTTAAACAGACATTTTTATTTTAACTTTGCTGTGGACCCAAGTTCTTGGTTTTTGTTTGAATATTTTAACTTTGTTAACCTCCTACTTTATTTTTACATTGAAGGTCACTGCTACAGTTTTTCATTAAAACTGTTCTTCAAAAATACTAGAAAAAAATGGGAGAATAGAGATAGAATGAAGCAGAATGATGAAAAAGGGGTCCCTATGTCCTCCAGCAGTCTAAGCCTATAGCAGCAGAACTATAGAGATAGCTCAGGATAACCTGAGCCACTCTAACTAGAAGCTTTATCAAAAAGGAAAGTTTTAAGCCTAGCCTTAAAAGTAGACAGGGTGTCTGCCTCACGGACTAAAACTGGTAGTTGGTTCCACAGGAGAGGAGCCTGAGAAATAAAAGATCTGCCTCCCATTCTACTTTTAGAAATTCTAGGAACCATTAGTAAACCTGCAGATTGAGAGCGAAGTGCTCTGTTAGGAACATAAGGAACAATCAGATCTCTGATATCAGATGGAGCTTGGCCATTTAAGGCTTTATATGTGAGAAGGAGGATTTTAAATTCTATTCTGGATTTAACAGGAAGCCAATGAAGAGAAGCCAGGATAGGAGAGATATGATCTCTCTTTTTAATTTTCACCAGAACTCTGGCTGCAGCATCTTGGATCAGCTGAAGGCTTTTAACTACAGTTTGTGGACTTCCTGATAGTAAAGAATTACAATAGTCCAGCCTTGAAGTAACAAATGCATGGACTAGTTTCTCAGCATCACCCCTGGACAGGAGATTGCTCATTTTTGCAATGTTCCTCAGATGAAAGAAGGAAATTCTAGAAACCTCTTTGATCTGGGATTTAAATGACAGGTCCTGATCAAAAATAACACCAAGATTTTTTACTTTATTATCTGAAATCAGTTTAATCCCATCCAAATGAAGTGACTGACTAATCAATAAATCAGTAATAAATGTAAAATAAAACTTGGAAATTTGTTGAAATTGTATTGATACCTTTTTTTCATTTATGAATCGGTGTAAAAACATAAAAGATGCTCAGGTTTTAAATAGAATTGGTAGATTATTAATTATTAACTTAAAGATTCTTTTAGTAAGCGCGATGCAGAGCGCCGCCATCTTCATGATGTTCAGAAGCTCCCCGCCTCGGAAAGGTTCACAGAAATCCAGAAAACCTGGATTTCTGAATGAATCCCTTGGAGTGACCAACAAGAGTGCAAAGTACCAAATGGCAAAATGTGGGAAGACCAACAGGCAGATCTGCTTTTACCACTTATCTTCACAACCAAAAAGTCGCTAAATGATGTTTTTAGTCGCTAGCCAGGTATGGCCAAAAGACACGAAATCTAGCGGCAAAGTCGGTCAATCACACTGACAGTGAAACAAATATTTTGAAAAGATAATAATTGTACAACTTTGTGCACTTTTGTCTTCTATCTAAATATTTTCACAAAGGACACCAAAATGTTGCTATCTGCAGGCAGCTTGCTAGCTATGATGGCAGCAACGATGTCTGCCAGACAGGAGAGAGTGGTCAGTGACGATCGAATCGAGAAAATGACAAAATGGGTCAAAGACCAAAAAGTTATTAACTGACAGCAGTGACAAATGTCAGACTGTAAACTTTTTCGAAAGAAAAGGACAAAATGGGAAGATGCTGTTAGTAACAGCAAAATGGAAAATATAAGAATTTCCAAGTAATGCTCAACTCAAGTGTGTGTGTGTGTGTGCGCGCGTTAAACTTCTTGTTGAATGATTTCAAATTATCTCTGAGTCTGAACTGAGGGAAAGGAAACCAAATTTTGAGCAGTCTCTCACGAGTTCAAAATACCAAATGAGGAGATTCTAAAAGAACTGACCGGTTTATGAAAGACTCGATGGGGGAGGGGCACAGCTAAGAATACTTGAGTGAGATTCTGTGATCCAAATTCGAGATAGAGCTTTTTGATAATGATAATTTGTCAGAGTAAGGTTGTGTAATCAAAATTTGAGAATGAGCTTTGTCAATCAATCAAGAATATTTGCATTAAGTTCTGTGATCAAAATTCAGAAACAACCTTTAATAATTGATAAAGAATATGTGAGTGAGGTTGTGTGATCCATCCAATTTGAGAATTAGCTTTGATAATAATGATTGAGAGCCTCTGGCCCTCTGTGGATCATGGCCGCGGGGCCAATTTTGCCTGGGCCCTTGGGGCCTCTGTTGGTCGTGGCTGCGGGGCCAAGTTGGCCTGGCCCCTTGGGGCCTCTGACCCTCTATGGATCGGGGCCAAGTTGGCCTGACCCCTCGGGGCCTCTGGCCCTCTATGGATCATGGCTGCGGGGCCAAGTTGGCCTGACCCCTTAGGACCTCAGGCCCTCTGTGGGTCGCGGCCGCGGGGCCAAGTTGACCTGGCCCCTTGGGGCCTCTGACCGTCTATGGATCATGGCCGCAGGGCCATGTTGGCCTGACCCCTTGGGGCCTCTTACCCTCTATGGATCATGGCTGCGGGGCCAAGTTGGCCTGACCCCTTAGGACCTCAGGCCCTCTGTGGGTCGTGGCCGCGGGGCCAAGTTGACCTGGCCCCTTGGGGCCTCTTACCCTCTATGGATCATGGCCCCTTGGGGCCTCTTACCCTCTATGGATCGTGGCCGCGGGGCCAAGTTGGCCTGGCCCCTTGGGGCCTAAGATTATTATTTTTGCTAAAGTAGTTTTGCTTGGGTCGCGGCCGCGGGGCCAAGTTGGCCTGGCCCATTGGGGCCTCTGGCCCCCTGGGCCTGGGCCCGGTAGGCCCGGTCATTAATCCACCTATGCCTCCAGCGTGTCCAGGACCTTCCACCAGGCCTCCTCCCAATGGGACATGCCTATAACACCTGGAGGGAGGCGAGCAGGAGGCATCAGGAACAGATGCCTGAGCCTCCTCAGCTGGCTCCTTTCAACATGGAGGAGCAACGACTCTACTCTGAGCTCCTCCCGGGTAACTGAGCTCCTTACCCGATCTGGGAGGGTGCGCCTAGCCACTCATTTTGGCCGCTTGTATTCGCCAACTTGTCCTTTGGGTCATTACCCAGATCATATGACTGTAGGCGAGGGTCGGAACGTAGATCGATCGGTAAATCGAGAGCTTTGCCCCGCGACTCCCTCTTCACCACGACAGTCCAATACAGCGACCGTGTCCCTGCTGACGCCGCGCCGATCCGTCTATTGATCTCATGCTGCGTCCCTCACTGCTGAACAAGACCCCGAGATACTTGAACTCCTCCACCTGAGACGAGGACTCAACCAAAGTCCAAACTATATAGATATGAAAAATGAAAGTTTTTATGTCGTTATGTTTTTATTCCCGTGTATCTAAAATGGTATTGAATATTTTTCTTTGTTTAAATCTTTTTTATTGTGACATCACCAAAGAGAAGGCAGTGACTCCGCTAACTCAGGTCTGTTTCCCTTCTGTTTCCCTTCTGTTTCCCTTCAGGTGGAGAAGGTGATGCCGTCAGACACCTTCTACTTCTCCATCGTCAGAGACCCCGTCGCTCTGGCCGAGTCTTCCTTTGCTTATTACAAAGAAGTCGCCCCGGCGTTCCGGAAAGCCAGAGGATTGGGGGAGTTCTCCGACGACCCTAACAAATTTTACGACCCCCGTCTGCGAAACAACCACTACGCCCGCAACCTGCTGTGGTTCGACTTCGGCCTGGACCACAACGCTAACTTCTCTACGGCGCTGGCTCGGCTCGGGGTCAACATGATCCGAAGGACCTTTAAGCTGATTCTGGTTTCGGAGTATTTCGATGAGTCCATGATCCTGCTCAGACACGCCCTCTGCTGGCCGCTGGATGCGGTGGTCTCCTTCAGCCTCAACGCGCGGCAGCAGAAGCCAGCCGGCGGGGCGGGCGGCGGCTGGATGGGCAAAGCAGTGGCGGCGGCTGGCGTCAGTATCCGAGGCGGGCACCTTCAGCCCAAAATGCCACCGAATCTTTCCCTAACCGAGGCGCAGCGAGAAAAGCTGCGGCAGTGGAACGCTTTCGACTGGTTCCTGTACAGAGCCTTCAACCAGACCTTCTGGGAGGAGATCGACAGGTTCGGTCGCACGCAGATGGAAAAGGAAGTGAATCTGCTCAGGATGCGCAGGAAGGACCTGGCCCGGGCCTGCCTCCGAGACGGCGGGAAGCCCGTCGAAGCTCACCGGATCCGGGACAAAAACATCCGACCCTTCCAGAGCGGGTTGGTGAAAATCCTGGGCTACGAGCTCCAGCCGGGGCTGGACAACGCCACCCGCACGGCGTGCATGAGGATGATCAGGCCTGAGATCCAATACAAAGACGTCTTAGACTCCAAACAGTTCCCCCCCGCCCATGGCGTCCAGCAGCAGAGCCAGAGGCTGCTGGTGGCGGTGGGAGGGACCTTTCTAAAGCAGGATTCCCCCAGGAAAGAGACGGGCGGACGGACGCTGGAGGACGGGGCGAAGGACTGGGACGGCAGCCCGTTACTTAGGAACAACCAGACTTTAGTGCGACAGCAGAGGCTTCCTGTCTGAAGCCTCGTAGAAACGGTTGGATGATAGTTTTATTTGCCTTTGTGGATAAAAACCCTCTTTGATCTGAGTTTTGTAAATATCATCATAGCCGTAGTTAATGTTGCTGTCATCACATGTTCTAATAGCAGCACCACAAAGGTTGGAGGACTCCTGCTGGGCAGCGTCAGCCGTCCTCAGATTACTCCCTGGATCTAGTTTCACTGTTAAACCCTGAAGCCCCGAAAGTCTTAGGATCAAATTCAGCCTGAAATTCCATCCATCAATTAAAGCAAATCCAGCTCCCAAACTATCAATTACAAATACAAGTGTTTGTATTTATATAACAGAAAGGCATTGAGGAATAGTTTTCAGGTGGAACCACTATTTTAAATGATTTATAGGTGATTAAACAAAGAAAAAAAGAAAAATATTTAGCCTTGCCAACATTTTTTTTTTTCAAAATAAAAGCTCCAAAACACCATAAAGCCCATTAGAAGCTCTGGATGAACCTCAGACTTTATAGATCCATATCTAGACTAGAACTAAAGCTAATCTGGACTGAATCAGTTGAAGCATGTTTGTTCCACAAAGGTTTTAATTGGCAGAGACTTAGGAGGAAATGGGATTTTAGTGCCGAAAGTGTAAAAAATCAATTATTTCTCCTCATCAAAGGGAATCTGATCAGATAAATATCCTGATTTCCATTATTGGAGACCTTCAGCATGAGGCAACGTCTTTGCTCCTCAGATTTAGTCGTTGGTTCACTGAAATTTACCAATAAAATCACCAAACTGAATAGAAAATAAGAATAGAGCAGCTGATGTAACGCATGCCGGTTACATCACCTGAAATGGTCTCACAGTGACCTCTGACCCCTCCTTGGAAAGGTCTGAGCCTCTAGTTTCCAATGATGGCGGCCATTAGGGGGCGGGGCTAAAACTGAATACCTAATATTGCATTACTCCCGCAGAGTCACACATCATTTGAAAGGCGTGTGGATGAAACACCATGTGACTGTATGTTGGCCATTTCTATAAATAGATAAACATCAGCAGGGCCCTGTTCCTGGACCGTCGGGCTTAAGGGGTTCAATGACCGTTAATTAAAGCATTATTACTTGAAATTCACCAAACTAAAGGACTTTAGGTCAAACAGGAAGGTTTTTTAGCTTCAGCAGCTTCCTCCATGATCCTCATTAGCAGCTGCATTTTCAGCTTTATGGAAAAGTTTGGTCTAAATAGTTTAATAACATCCAAAAAAAAATATTGCAGCAAAAATTGGTTGAAAAGACGACATTCACATTTAAACCACGTCTACATTTGGTTGAAAAGTGAAAAAGCTGAATAGCCGTAACTTCCAGATCATTAATAAGTTGAAAACTAAAGTGGGACAATATCAGACCAATTTTCAACCACTATCATGGACCGACAGACCGTCTGTTTGGGGGGGGCGAGCCTGGCACCTGGTTCTAGTTTCTTTCTCCGCCGCTGTTCTGTCAGCTCAGCATACGGCGTCAGGCCAGCATACCGTCAGTTATACGCTTTAGTGTCTCCTTGCAGCCAATCACGCTGCTTCATTTCCTCATCTAGTCAGGATTTTGTTGTATTTTTGTGCATAAAACAACAAAAATACTCCTTCGCTAGGTTCCACTACAGACATTAGCTTAAAATAAAACATTGCATCTCATTAAAGAAAGAATGATTGAGATTTTTTTACAGAGAATTAAATATTAGGGAGAGGATTCTACCACTCAGTTGACAGGATATGAGATTTATTTGTTTTTGGTTTGTTTAATATGAGCCACATGTGGGTCATTTTATTTTAAGATCTACTGAAATTATTTTCAGATTACACAGAAACAGATTAATTAATTCGCAGAGGGAAAATGAAGGATTTTAGGGTTTGGATTAAGATCCTCTCAATGATAACCTGCTGAGCCTAATGGTACAATCTGAAGCCATTCAATGGTCCTGCTAACCGCTAATAACGATCACGCGCGTATTACTAAGTGTATGCTGAGCTGACAGAACACCGCCACGCCGATGCCTCGCACCAAAACGGAAATGACGCAGCCGGAGCGCGTCTTTTAGAGGTCATCCCTAAGAGCAGCTCAGGAGCGAAGCGATTTTAGCGACATGAACGGCACGATGAGGGAGGATGGAGGTAAGCTGAACCTGCGCTGGACGGCAAGCGAATTTATTGTGGAAAAAATCGCAACTTTTCTGACTATTAACTTCACATTTAGTGCGAGGAGTCGCAATCGACAGCAGTGAAAGAAAAATAGCACCTAAGAGCTAATGCTAATCTTAGCCTGTCTGATATTAGCCTGTTTCAACCAAAATGGAAGACGCAGTTCGCATTTCAAAAGAGAAGAATCGGATTCAGGACAACAGAGACAAGTGGCCTCGACCGCATTGGAAAAAATCTGATCGCATTGGAAAAAACTGGATCTGTGTTGATCAAACTGTCATGAAAAGATCGGATCCAGGTCGCATATGGGGAAAAAATTCGTATTTTTGTCACTTCAGGCTTCCGCGTGAACGTAGCCCGAATTTTACGGATCGGATTCTTTCCAAACACTCTGCACTTCTGAGTTCTCCGTCTGGACCAATAGGAATGCTGTTGCTAGCATGAAGCAGAGCAGACTCATTCCTATTGGTTCCTACTCAGATGGGTAAATCTAGAGAGAAATTTGTAAAACGGGATTAAAAAAGAAATCTAGTTTATGAAACTCAGTCTTCCAAAAACATATAAATTTCTAATTTTAAGAAAATTTAATACTTTAAACTAATCTTTTTAAGCTGTTTGTATTATAAAACCTTTTCTTCTAATAATGTTGGAACTAATTTATCTCCATATAATCAGGACCTCTTTGTTCTTAAGAGGAAAATTCATTTGGCCTTTAAAAAAGATCACTTTTAACTGCCGTGACACTAATTATTGTCACGCCATTTTTGCCCCCCCCCCCCAGCCTCTGTGTTCATGCTATTAAAAGCTGTCCGTTCTGTTTTTTTACTAGAACTTTTAAGATGTCTTTGCAGCCTTTAATGTATAACGGGACTCAAACTGAACGTTTTCATATTAAGCTTGTTGTAATGAGCTTTATAAAGCTTTTCTCTCTCATCTGCTTCAAACCTGCTTCGTCTTTCCTCCACAGTGGATCATCCCAATGTTTCTGCTTCTGTTTCTCATCCATGGTCAGATGCTAAGCTAAGCTAAGCTAGCAGCCATCCATTATGGGTAAAATCTCTTCTGCAGGAAAATTTAAATCTAAAATTTTTTCATGAATTGAGGAAGTAAGTGAGACACTGGAACATTTACATTTAGAATAAGAAAAAAACAATTGCTTTGATTTATTCCAAGTGGAAATTATTCCAAAAAAAGTGAAAATCAATCCACTGGACTTTGTTTCCAAGTTTGAAGACTTTTCTCTTCCATCCAGGAAGCTTCTTCAATTCAAATTGTCACGAATCAGCGTTGAGTTCGTACGACGGAGTATTTTTTTTGTTGGATTTTGAGAACAAAGTTGTAACATCAGTAGAATAAAGTCCTAAAATGACGAGAATCAAGTTGTATTTTATAACAACTCTTCCAAGAAGCCGTTTCTTCCCTAGAATGAGGAATGTGGACCATCATGTGAAGTTCTACTTTAGCATCGGTTTGACAAATCAGGAAATGTTTTAGCAGCAGCATCAAACTGGGCAGGATGTCAAAGTGGACTCTGGCTGCTGATTGGTGGAGCTGGTCTGACGTCATCTGCTGGGCGGAGCTCCAAGCTTTCTTTATGAAACAGGTTGTTCTCGTTAGTTTTCAACTTTATTCAATTATTATTACTTTATTCTCGTAATATTACAACTTTATTCTCATAACGGGTTGATGTTTGATGACTTTATTCTCGTAATATTACAACTTTATTCTCATAACGGGTTGATGTTTGATGACTTTATTCTCATTATATTACAACTTTATTCTGATAATATTAGGACCTTATTCCCTTAATGTTTGAACTGAATTCTCTAAAACAAAAAGCCTGGCCCTAACACTGTCGTAGAGTTCGAGGCTTTATTCAGCGGACCCTTTCAGAGACATAGACAGGTATGGGGCATTGCAGGCTAACAAAGAAGCCAAACGACCCCCATTCCAAAGGGGGGGACCCGTTCATCCGTTTCTATTTGCATGTTTTCTAAACTAAAACCAGGCTTTTGTTCCTCCTTAGAAAACATGCAGATTGAACAAGATTAAACCGTTAAACCTGACAGTAGAGCAAACCTGTCTGACTCTAAACATGTCGTCTGCTGCTGTTTGTCAGCTTTTTCCTCTGAACACAGTCAGTGGCTTCAGTGGTCAAACAGAGGAAGTTGTTGCGCATGAACAGCTGATCTTCTTTCGGTGTTACACAGCGTTTCGTCTTTGGTGCGGTGCAGAAAAATCCCCGCAACGTGCAGAGGAAGTCTAGCCTGCATGAAGCCAGACTGCTGAGTAATACGAGGCGTGAGGCTGAGTGAGGAACTAAAGCTCTCTGCAGAAACAGGACACCGCTCTTATCAGCCGCATCACATCACATGTGTTTGGTTGGATGTTCTTATTACAGAGCGTCAACATAGTGTGGGTAGATCTGATCGGGGGGGTGTCTCCCCCTCATTTAGATGATAGGGTCATGTTTACTGCAAAAAGCAAACGGCAGTAAGAAACATCTACTGCTGTAGGTCTATGCTGGGGCTAACAGTTATTTTGCAAATCTGTTGATTATTTTTTCGATTGATAATCAGATAGAAAAGGTTCCTCAAAGATTTTTTTATGAAATCAAACCAGGTGACACTAAAACTTTTCCAACTGAGGAGTTCTGGGTAGAACAGATTGACAGATTATAAAGTTTTTTTATCTTAAGGGCAAAATGTTTACATATTTTTTACAATCTTGGTATAATTCCTGCTCTAAAGAATTAAGAAGACGACACATAAAACAGCCCCATTCTCCAGATGTAGAAATGTTAATAGAATAGACATCCATTATCTGTTCTAGGTTGTGTCCCTCTCTTCTTGTCCCTTTTCTTCTTGTTTTCCTCTCTATGTTTTGTACTCAGCTGACTTTTCATGCTGTCTCTAAAGGAATGAAAGATTTTTTCCAAGCACTAAGCTCACTTAGCTGATTGCTCCTTCCTGTGTTTCCAAAAAGGCCAAAGTAAATAACCCAGTCCTTCTTTTCACTGTAGACAAGCCATGATCTGCTTATCTGTTCTCCATTTTTCATTTGGATGAAATAATAGCTGCATGAATCATGACAGCAGACAAGATAGAGGAGAGCAGGAGGCGGGGTTACCAATCTACTCGCTCTGGAGAGCAGAGTTCGCTGCTTTTAGATGTTGTCTCCAAAGTCTCCAGTAGCAGAAAAAAGTCTCTAGATTTGGCGCTAGGAGCTTTTTAGAAATCAAAGTGCTAGAGGGGTCTGAAAAGTGGCTAAATATAGCGACTAAAGCGCTAAGTTGGCAACACTGCTCTTTGCATGGTTTGTTTTCAAATGGTTTGCTGCTGTCTGTTTGGACCTTTCTGAACATGTGCAGCAAATGGACTGATCCAATATGGTGGACACTGAAGGGGGGGGGCTGAGACACACTTAATATTATAAACATTCTGATGGCATTTTAGCCAAAGGATTTTTATCAAAAACATAATTAATGTGCAGAAATAAGGAATAGTTGTATTAACCGTACATGGAAACAGAGTTTTATGGGGCCCCCAGGAACTGCCTAGTATTGGCTAATGGTAAATCCCCCCCCTCCGTCTATATCAATGGATGAGCCGTAGAAGATCAATAACCAGACAGCAGGTAGAATGTGCTTCAACAACAGCATTTTTATTCACAAATTAAAGGCATTTTAAAAAGAATAATTGAATCAACAAAACAGAATCTCACAAAAATAGGAATGTTCCAAAATATAAGTTAAAAATGATCCGTGACACATGAAGAAGAGAACTGTCGGAATCAGGTTGTTTTACATCGGAGTCAGTTTGACTTCTTTCTGGTCATCCATGTTTTCATATGGGACGCCTGAAGACACACACAGCAGAGATCAGTGTTATTTTCACTCTTCTTTTAAAACAGCTTTTTTTTTTTTTTTATAAACATTTTCCGTCTCATGTGAGCCTAATTTACTCCTTTCTCACTACAAAAAAAAAAAAATATGGGACCAATAATCCGGATCCTGTGATTTTTAGAACTGCATTTTATAAAATTTTTATTGCAAAATCGTTAATTGTTCCGCCCCATTTGACGTTAGCAACAAAGAGCGCACCTTTGGATAAGTGAGGAGAAATAAAAAAAAAAAAAAAAATCCAAATGATAAAATATTGAAGAAAATTTTGAAAATAAAATGTGAAAAATATAAAAAAAAATTCAGAAAAAATAAATTACAAAATAATAAACGACAAAAAAATCTAAAAATGGATTTGGAAATAAATTTGAAAAAACAAATTCTGGATTTAAATTTTTCATCCACAAGTCTTTTTTTTTTTTGGCCTGCAACAATAAGGAGACGAAATTCACTCCATAAATTTCTTTTTAAAGCTCCAGTTTGTTAAAATAAGTTTAATAATTTTGCTTTTTTAGTATTGTGGTAATTTTTCTTACCAGTTGATGTCAAGCTGACACTTCCGTCATCAGAAAACGCTTTCCTGTGGAGAGAGAAGAGACTTAGAGTCAGACTTTGTTTATGGAGTGCAAAAGAAGTCCAATCTTACAGCTGAGACAGTAAAGGAAAAAAAATTGTTCTCCAAGCATCATAAGTTCAATGTTGCTTAGGCCTTGATGCTCAATTCCGATTTTTTGTGAAATCCGATTTTTTTTGTGTTGCCGTTCACATTTCCAAATATATGCGATTGCGGTGATCTCCTGTGGGAACTGCTTTCCTACAGCTTAAGTGTCCCGCAGGCGCAGTAGAGGACGCAATGACATCACAAGCCAACGTGTTCTGGGTTTACGCAAGTAAACATGGATGCTAGCGCTGGACTTCACCTTGCGATCTTTCCCAACCTTAAAAACTCAAATCTTTTCAAGATGGTTAAATATAAAGACTGCTTTCCGCATAATCGTCCGCCATGGTTGTTGTTTTCTTCCTGCTTCTGCGTAGCTAGACGCAGAATAGCGACCTACGTCGGCTACTAATGGCGTTCAGGTCGGATGAATGCGACCTGGCCGTTCAGACGCACATCACATTTGAAAAAAAAATCGGATTCAGGATCACAAATCCAAGTGGCCCGGGTCGCACTGGAAAAAGTCAGATCTGTTTCGTTCAGACTGTCATGAAAAGATCGTATCCAGGTCGCATATGGGAAAAAAAGAAAATCAGATTTGCGTCACTTCAGGCTTTGGTGTGAAACTATGGATATAAACTCCAAGTCTGCGGGGACTCACTTGTTTTTTCGTTTGCAAACACACACAACGGCGATGACGACGACGATGGCCATGACAGCCAATGGGACCAAGACTGCGATCAGGATTATCCACTTGGTGGCTGGAAAAAAAAAACATAAATGCATGTCAGTGAAGAAATGTCCTGCGGTCGCAGTGCAGGAAAACAGCTAACCGCTAAGGGTTTCATTCATTCATTGGATCAGAATAAAGCTCTTACCCAATCCTCCACCAGGGGCGGGCTCAATAATCTCCACTTCACAGAACTTTCCTTCAAAGCCTTCTGGACACGTGCACGAGTATGTAGCGTTACTGCTTTCCGTACACGTTCCTCCATTCATGCAGGGAGAACTGAGACAGGGACTCGCTGCGGGACAAAAACACAGCTAAGCTTCAGAGGCTAGCTAAGATCTTCATCGCGGCAGACATGACACCATTTTACACCATTTAACATCTTCCTGACAACGTCAAGCTAAGCTAGCTCCAGGAAAATAGCTCAGCATAAAGAATGAACAAACAAATGGTGGTTCTTCCATTAATTATTCATTGTGAATTAATTTCTGACAGTTTTGTTTATGTTGTATATATCTAGACTGATTTAAATACCTGGTTTTGTTCAGGACATATTTTTTACAGCGGCGGAAAGGAAAAAAAAATGATGCTAACGTGCAAACGTGTAAAGTCGGCCGTACACTGTACAATTTTTTCAATGGTTGCACGCAGCCACAGCTCATTCTGTACGATGAAACCACAGAGTTTAAAAGCTCCCAGCTCACGATGTTTGTTCTCACGCTGTAGGTGGGACTCAGCTCCGCAGTGAGATGGCGCTACTCAGACTCGTCTATCGGGAAACGAGTAGAAAAGGAACATGAAGCTCACAAGAGTGAAATGCGCTGCCTTGGAAATTTGGGTAATTTTATGCTGAAAGCCCTAAAAAGAAAAGGAGACGACGTATTTGGACAAGGACATGGTTGAGCTAACGTGGCTACTACGGTCTGTCATTGAACCCCCCGCCATGTTTCTGTGTTTCCCTCTGAGAGGAAGAAGAAGAATCCTTGTTTGCCCACTGAGCAATTTGCCCACGACCACCTAACGACGTCCGACTGAATTTCAAACATGTGTGATTTTCTTCCGACCTTATGATTCCTGATGGGGAGGTGGTCGTTAGAGGCTGATCGCCCCTCGTTACCCCCTGTCCGCTACACCACGTACTAGGGGTGTAAATAATAATCGTTTTGTATCGATGCATCGATTGAACAGCCGACAATCCGATGCATCGACACGTCCGCAAGAGAATCGATTCATTTTTTTTTTCCTCCGGTCTATTTTTATCCATTTGCTCCTGGGCGTAATTCTCCCTCCCGTGCTGCGGTGGCGCTAAACCTATTTTGCCCTCCTACCTCGCTTCCTGGTTATACTCTTACAGCAGTGTGTTGCAGTGAGCTTGATGCAGACATTTTAGATTTATGCTCAGTATTGAAGCGTGGTCTGTGCTACACGCTGTGGGTCTAGATACGGCCGAGGCGGAGAGGAAGTGGGGGCGAGTTTAGTCCGACGACGGAGGGACATGAGGGCCAAAAAGAGCGGAGATCCAGGTGGAAAAAGGGTCCCAGCGTTCTCGCGCACCTCGCTCTTCTAGCGGGTCAAACTTCACGAGTTGTTTTCCGCAATTTCGGTCATAAAAACAAAACAAGCCGGCCTCCTGTCTGCGGCGCTGTCTACGGTCAGCTACAATCTGGGAGAGGTGCAGCGGAGCGTCTGTGGAGGGGGCGGGGCCATCTATAGCCGAGGTATTGCTTTGCAGTCATTGCACTGATTTTCTGCAGTATTTTTGGATGCAACTTTTCTACTTCTGTTATTTGCTGTTGTTCTAAAAAAAATGCATAATGATATTACAGCTTTCATTGATTTATTTCAAACTTGAAACTTTGTTTAGCCTGTAAGGTGTAAAAAAAATAAAAAATCGAATTGTATCTTGTGTATTCTTAAAAAACGAAAATAATCGAATCGTTGGGTCAGGAAATCGATACTGAATCGAATCTCCATGATGGGTGTGATTTACGCCCCTACCGCGCACCATCAGGCTGAAAGTCGGCCTGATCGGAAAATTCTCGCACGACTGGAGAATCGGCCCGAGAATGCTTAAAAATCGTACAGTGTACCACCGGCTTAATGTGGGCTTCCCCTGCGAACAGTTGCAGTTAAATGAAGTGTTGTCGCAGCTTTCGGTCGGTCGTTTTATCTCGTCTCCTCCTGCGATACGTACATTTGAAGCAGTCCCTTCTGAGGTCATAGATGACGCAGACTTGATCCTTCTGGCAGCTCTTGGGTTGGCACACCGTACCGGTTTTCGTGCATTCGCAGGACTGGGAGCAGTCTTCGGTGACAAACTTCTCGTTGAGCTGGATGATGGAGAGAAGGACGAGGAAATGCGTTTTTTTCCACAGAGGCACAAAGACGGATAGACCAGGTTGGGCGCGGTCAGCGAGGAGCACTCACAGGGTAGTATCTGTTGAGGAAGGTGCAGCCGCACTCTGGATACGGCACGCAGGTTCCCTCGCTCAGGACGAAACCGGCGGCACACTGGCAGCCTTCCACGCATGAAGTGATGTCGCACTCAGAGGGGGCTGCCAAGTCGGCGCAGGACGGCGGGCATGCGGTCATGCAGGAGGAGTAGGTGCTGTTGGCTCCACAAAGTAGGACTACAAGACAAACACAGAGAGTCAGGTGTGTTTACCTTCCCTGGCCGTGTGGGAGGGTTTGTGCACCGTACCGCAGTCCAGCTGCTTCCTCCAGGCTCCCAGTTTAACCCCGGCCTCCTGACACGCCGAGGCGTACGCGTCGTAGCTGCCGCAGCGCAGCTCCTCGCTGCCGTCCTCCGCGCACAGGTCAAACACGCAATCACTACAGGACAAACGACACAAGCTCAAGAGAAAACCTCTCAATGGTTTCTCACACAACGCCGGAGGGAATCACTCACTCCTGGTAGGTCTGAGGCGGCAGTATGTCATGGCAGGCGGCGAACGGCCCCTTAGGGTCGGACAGCGCTCCACACTTTGTTACGCTGTTGTAGTCATTGAGCTCAGATTTGGAGCAGTCGGACGTCTCAAATCCTGTTTCTGGATCTTCCTCCACCTCTCGCCTGGAGACAAACAGGAAGTAGACGCATCTGAGTGAATATGACCGAAACAAGGCGGCCGCTGGACGCTCAGTGCGAAATGTTCGCACTGCTTTGAGTAGAGAGAGTGATCTAGACCAGAGGTTCCCAAATTTACAAGGTTTTGACGCCCAGAACAGTGTCAGACCGGTCTACTGGCTGGAAAATAAAGATTTGGAAAAGAAATTAACCAAGTAAACAGCATTAACAAGCAATGTATTTGGTTTTTTAAGTTTTAATATCTTTAAATGTAAATTCTCTTCATCATATTTTGTATTTCAGTTGAGACACTGTAGCTAAATAGGAAACATTTGTGGTTAAAATCGTAGGAAAATAAGGCTCAGTTCATATATTTATACACAAACTCCCAATATAAACACACTCTCTCTTGGAACTATCCCACCCCCACATAAAGAACTTTCTCACACACAAACATTTGGTTTTTCCCAAGAAAAAAAACACTTGAATTCATCAAGGACATAAATTTTAGCCAGATAAACAGTCAGAACAGGTCTGCCGTTCACTGATTGAAGTAGGCTGATTGAACTCATTCTTATCTCTCATGATCCTCCCTTCATCCTGGTCTAGAGACGAAAGGCATCTGCTTTCTGTCATCCCCAATCTTAACTCCCTACAGAACTTAAAGTCATAGGGAATTTATATTTAAATGTTAATTCATTCCGGCTTAAACATGTATATAAATGTTCTCTTTATCAGACCATATTGTCCCAAAAGTTAGGAAAATGTATTTTTAAGAAAGATCCTGTCTTCAAATCCGTGTTTTTTTTTTTGTTATCTTCTGCAGGCCAGTTAGTTCTACGTCAGCCTGAACACCTAAATTCGGCCAATCATATATCAACGGTCATCTGTCAATCAAATGTTTTCGGTCATAGCATTGTGATTCATATGTCGCAGCTAATATACGCAACGGTTGAAATCAGAATCCTTTCCTTTCCCACTGAGTTGCGTCCCAGTGTTCACGGGGATGGACGTCTGTGTCTTCAGCAGGCGTAGAGCTAACAGAACTGGCAGCGTTGCGAGGCAAGGGCTCAAACATGTACGGCTGGAAGCCTTCTACACCAAACCAAGCTTCTGCCGCCCTGGCGTCCTCTTCCACAACATCTTCGTCCCCGCTTTCCTCCTCTAAATAAAAAATGGATGACGGAGGAGACTCATCCACGACCTCCGACACTAAACTCTCCTCGAACCTGCTAGCACTAAGTTGCTAACTGGTTAGCAACTTAGTGCTAGTAGTTTCCCAATGGAATTTCCCATTGGGAACCTGCTAGCACTAAGATGCTAACTGGTTAGCAAGATGCTTCCCACAAACCGGCTACAACCAAACTTGCTTGTGAACCTTCTGCCACAACAATCCCGCCCCCTTGATAATCGACCAATCACATTCACTTTATTCACTCGTGTAAAGTCGGGCACCACTGGGAGAATTCGGAAAAGCAACGGTTGGAACAGCCGCTTCCCTGCGACTTTAAATTCATTAAAGTGATTGAAGGTGAAAAAAAGGCTGGAAATTCTCCATTCATTTCTATGGGGGCTAAAATCATCTTAATAAAAAAAAATATATATAAATATTTTAAAAAAGCATGTAAATCCCCAGAACTAGCCGGTCATAATGTGACCAAAGTCCGTTTTCTTCTTGCGAACCTTCAGCCACAACCATCCCGCCCCCTTGATAATCGACCAATCACATTCACTTTATTCACTCCTGTAAAGTCGGGCACACAGATTTTAAGACAGGATTTTTTAAAAATATAAATTTTCCCAATTTTGGGACAATATGGTCTGATAAAGAGAACATTTATATAGATGTTTAAGCCAGAATGATTTGAGATTTAAATATTTTCCTACGTCTTTAATGTGTGGGACTTGTTTAGATGAGAAAAGAAAAACAAAACCAATCACTGACGTAGACTAGCTTCCGTCGTACCTGTGGACGTGAACAGTAGCGTGAACATCAGAGGTCCTCAGTCCAGCCGGGCGGTCGTCGGTTTTCCAGCTCTCTCCGAAGTCGTTCAGGTTCTTCACCACTGTCCCATCGGGCTTCATGTACTCGTTCTTGGAGATGCCGTCGTAGTTCCCGCACAGTCCCCTGACAGAGTTCCTATAGGTGCTGGGGAGTATAATATCTGGAGGAACCAAGAGGAAAACGGAAGCCGTGAAGCAGAAGACGTTTAGAAACCAGCTGGAAGGAGGCCTCGGTTTGGAGATACTTTACCTCCACGGTTTTTGCCGTCGAAGCGGACGGTAAGGCCAAAGTCTGTGGAGAGCTGGACCTGCTTGGAGTTCATGGTGATGGTTAAACCGCCGACGGGACTAAGAGGAGGCGTGAGGCGCTCTCCGTTCACCTGAAGGGGAATTCAAATCAAAGATAATCTGTTTTCTGTACATTAAAACACCCCAAATATTGCTGCAGTTAGTTCCAACACTGACCAGGACTACTTTCTTCTGCTGGAAACGAACGTTGACGCCATAGACGTCCACATACATCTCGTCCAGGAATGACACTTTCTTGTTGTTGCCTCGCCTGAGGTTCTTCCCCCTCACCAACAGGGGGGTCTGGGAGCCCTGCAGATTGTGGCCCTGCGTCAGGACGTAGGTGTACGGACCCTGGAAGTGATGGGCGAAGCCGTCGAACGTTCTGTGGTGAGGGTCTCCGGAGATGGTGCACCTGTCGAACTCTGGGAACCGTGCAAAGGTTGGCGGTTAGACAGGGCTTTGATCTGTGCGATGCGTTCGAGTGTCGTGGGACTCACTGGCAGGTTGGCAGTAGCGGTCTCCGTACTTGTCCAGGGAACACACCGAGTTGGAGTTGCAGCTGTGGTCCTTGCAGATGATGCTTCCACCGCGGTTACACGTGCAGGACTTCTCACAATTATCCGTCAGCCACGTGTCTTCCACCTGCACACCAGGAAACACGGATTCAATCACAACAACATCTCGCACATCCAGGCGACCGCAACACAGAACGATCAATCTTTTATCTCTTACTTTCTCAACGATAAATTAATATTCAAACAAAGCAGTTTAAGCTCATAAAATAATCTCTTCTGTTCTTTTTAGCAACAAAGAAATGGCCGAGTTTGTTCTTTAGTAAAAGTCTCAGAATGTTTGTTAAACTATTTAAAATGTTAATAACTAAAAGCAAAATTATAACTATTAAAGGGGAAAATAATGCGTGAAACTTTAAATGACAAGAAAGTGCCGCCATTTTTAGAATCCAGACCACAAATGAATCAGTTATTTGGTAAAATATTTACATTTGTTTTGTTCTTTTATTTCAGAATTTAAGACAAATCAAAGTTTAAATTAATTCTCTAATTTCAAGCATCTTTTTTTTTAACTGCTGTTTGTAGAAATGTTTTAAAAATATTCCTTTTTTTTTTTCTTTATCCACACCCCATGCTCAGGGGCATTCATGTTAAAACGAAAGAAATATAACTACAAAAATAAAAGCTTTACTGGTCAAAAACATTTTTTTATTTTTTTTGATTCAAATCTGTATGAATTTTGTATGTTTTTAAAACAGGCTTAATGGCTCCAAGTTAGCTCCATATTATTGCTACATATTTTCCTTTGGAGCCAAACACAAACTTATTTATTTTTATTTTATTTTTTTAGATTAAAATCTTAATTTAGTTTCAAAAGTCTTTTTTTTTTCCAGTAAAAAAAAACAAACTGTTTTTCATACAGCCTTTTGGCTCCAAGTTAGCTCCATATTAATGCTAAATATTGTCCTTAGGAGCCAAACACAAACTTAATTTTCTTTTATTATTTTTAGATTCAAATCTGTATTTTAATTTCCAAATTTTTTTTTCAGTTTTAAAAAAACAAAGAAAAAAAAGCCTTTTGGCTCCAGGTTAGCTCCATATTATTGCTACATATTTTCCTTTGGAGCCAAACATAAACTTTTATTTTTTTATTTTTTTTTTTTTTAGATGAAAATCTTAATTTAATTTCAAAAAGTTTTTTTTTTTCAGTAAAAAAAACAAACTGTTTTTAATACAGCCTTTTGGCTCAAAGTTAGCTCCATATTAATGCTAAATATTTTCCTTGGGAGCCAAACACAAACTTAATTTTCTTTTATTATTTTTAGATTCAAATCTGTATTTTAATTTCAAAAGTTTTTTTTTTTTTTCAGTTTTAAAAAAACTAAAGAAAAAAAGCCTTTTGGCTCCAACTTAGCTCCATATTATTGCTACATATTTCCTTTGGAGCCAAACACAAAGATTTTTTTTTTTATAGGTTAAAATCTTTATTCTAGTTTCCAAAGTATTTTTTCAGCTAAAAAAAACAATTTTAGCTGTTTTAGTTAGCAATTATCCTTTAGAGCCAAACACATATTATTTTGGATCTGATGGTAGGGGCTTGCTTTGTATTCCATATAGGATTATGTAGAATTTGTCATGTGAATAATTAGGAAGCTCTAAAGTAAACAGATGAACAAATTTAGTTTCCTGGTTCTTTCTAGAGGTTAAAATTGAGTTAAGCTGCCAAATGTGTTGAAATAACATCATTATCCTTTATTTTAAACTTCCTCCAGCTGAACAGCGGGCAGCTCGCTCGCTCGCCGTCTGACTCACATCGTGGTATTCTCCGTCTGAGTCCAGGCAGCCGCACTTATCTAGAGGAACACACTGGCTATCGCTGAGGACGAACCCAGCGTCGCACTGGCAGCCCTCCACACAGGTGGTGGGTGGGAGGTGGCAGGTGATGGGGAACAGGTCGGAGCAGGTGGGCGGGCAGGGCGGCGTGCAGTCAGAGTAGTGGCTGTTGGTCGGGCAGGGCAGCGCTGCGAAGAAGAGCGAGGAAGAGTTTAAAACGGGAAGCTTTAAGCTGAGCTATCGGTGTGGGAGAGACTTACGGCAGAAGGTGGCGTTCCTCCAGCTGATGGTGACCCCGGCGCTCTGACAGGCCTGGGCGTAGGCCTCCACGTTATCGCACAGCGTGGACTGCATGCCGTCATACTCGCACATGTCGTAGACGCAGTTACCAGTGAAGGCCTCTGGGGGCACCAGGGCGTGGCAGGGCTTGAAGCGGTCCGACTGGAGGATCCCTGTGCACTGGGCCTCGTACAGCGTCTCCTCCGCCTCGGTGCAGTTAGGGTGGACGTCGGGACGCGTGTCTGGCTGACAGCTGCAGAGAGGAACAGGCTTTTTGTTAGACACTAGCTCCGCCTCCGGAAGATGTTCGTCTTCGAGTTTCGCTACTCACCCGGGGTCGCTGTCTCCCTCAGACTTCCAGCTGTTTCCCAGCTCAATCACATCCTTTGCTGGTTTCTTATTGGGCATCAGGTAATCATCAGACTTATTGTGGTTGAAGTTTCCGCACATGCCGCACACCTGTTGAAACCAAAGAAGCGTTATATGCGCAAATAAAACGGAAAACCATCAGATTCCAAAAAAGGTTAAAAAACAATCCTCTGAACTTTTTTTCTAAGTTTGAAGACCTTTCTCTTCCATCCAGGAAGCTTTTTCAATTCAAAATGTCAGAAATAGCGTTTAGTTCCAGGTTTTATACAGTAACCCAACAAAGCCTGGTTTTTTAAACTTTTCTGGAATGATGATGATGATGATTGACTGAGACTCTCCACCAGAGACACCATCAGATGTCTACCTACCTTATCGTAGTATTCTCCAGGAATAGTGATTTCCAGGTGATGGACTCCATCAAACTTCACCTGCAGACCAAAGTTTGTGTCTAGAAGAGTGAAGGTCCCACTTGTTATCACTTTGGCTCCAGCTGCTTCAATGGTGAGCGGGGTTTTCACGCGCCGCCCATTCAACTAAAACGGCACAGTAAAAAAAAAAAACAGCATTAGACGATTGTGTCTTTTTTTCCCGGCTTTAAAACGTCTGAATGAATCTGAGAGTTTACCAGAACTCTGCGGCTCTTCTGAAGTTCAACCACCATGTCGTGAGGCAGGAAGACGGTAGCGGAGCGGACGTAGGAGGCCTCTGGCTGACCGCGCTCCTCATTCTTTGCCACCACTCTGAAAGGAGTCACCATGTTGGCATCACAAACCTGCAGGGTTCAGACACAACACAATCAAAATTAACGTAGAGTTCTAATATAAGAATCACATCAGAACAGAAATAGATCGGAACACTTTCAGCTAATAAAGTAGAGCAAATAGTTCATGAATCAGTGCTGAAGCTCAACATCCACCTCATTCTGTGAAATTCTCGCCTAATTTTCGTTCCTAAATGGAAAAGCTAATAACCGAGGAACTGTGAGCCCAAATTACTTTATTTGAAAGCTAACACCCTATAGTTCACTCACCTTATATACAATTGGGTGAGTAGAACACAGACCAAGCTGCATCAGTTCAAACATGACTCACAGTTGGGTGTTTTTATTCTTGAAAATGAACAGGCAGGTCTAATTTTATTAGATTTGTTCTACATCCTGTCAACCACAAATGCAGAAAGTTTAAACAGTTCCAGAGCTGTAGGGCTTTGAACTTTTGGCGTCACCAACGTCTCCAAATCTCTCCAAAATGTGCCAAATGCTTTTGCTTTGCTTCACTTATTGACCCATAGAATAACACTGAAGCATTTTGACGGCCACAAAACATTTATGAAGCAAATATTTCCCACTATTTTTCAGAATCAGTGTATATAACTAAACGTAATATTTATAAACCTAAAATAACATAAAAGTCGTGAAACTGCTGCTTTCCAAGCCTTTTCTGAGCTGTATTTTTTTTATTTTTCAACCTTAGGAATTAAAATAAAACAAAATCAGCGTCCAAATTAAAAAATAGGACCGCTGCGCCCTGATCCAGCCGCAGCTGTCTGTGTCTCTCTAACGCGAACCTGTAACGCCGTTCCCCTTTAAATCCCCTCGGCGTATGAAGGCTTGTTTAAAACCTTATTTCATTGGCTATAAAGCCCAACAGCCCACATGGTCTCAACCAATAACAGCAGGACTCTATGAGGCGTAATAGCGCGCGTCACTGGCTAACAGGAAGTGAGATTTCAGCGCCTGTATCAAACACAAAATGCATCATAAAAATATGCAGATACTTGTGTCTTGTAGATAAGAAGACGACGTAAAGAACTATACCAAACATCGCAGGCTAACAACTGAGGAAATAAGTATTAAAAGTAAATATTAGCAAGATGCTAAGCATTAGCTATGACCAGCTAAACCTTTCTGATGTCCAAAACCGGACGTTATGGACAATTTTCTCATCATGGAATATTTTTATTACTAATATCCTGGATTATTTTTTAATCTGTGGACCTTTATGGACAAATGGAGTATAAACAATTGAAGATTGGATTTATAAAACGGCTTCTGGACGCCTTCAGAGGGACGTAGCTGTGGCTGCTTTGTTTGTTTACATTTTGACATGCTGCTATATCTGTGTTAACTGTGCTTTGGTGTTCGATGTGTCCATAAAATGATCTTAGTCGTTGAATTGTGGAGAATCTAAACTTTCTAACGATGTCTAACACTTCTATAGTGGTAAACATTTTACTGGTGGAATTTTATGCATTTACCCCACTTAGCATCCACCTGGTCGCCGGCGACCCGGTGGATTTAAAGAGGTTTTAAAGATTGATATAACACACATAAAGCCCTGCGTAAAAAAGAGCTCTGATCTCTGCTTTTAAAAGTGAAGTGAGGATTTTCACATTTTAAGGAAAAGTCTGGTCTTATTCCGAATTCAAACTTCTTAAAGTACTTTAAATATATTAAAGCTATGGCAAGCTATTTGTCATTTCATTCTGCACAATATTTATGAAAAATTTGAACTTTATTTTAAGGATGTTTTAGATGGAATTGCAGAATATAGAAAATAACCTTTTGACCATATCTTCTTCTGTAATCTTTTGCTACTGTTGGGCTTGTTTTATATCCACAAATGTTAAATTATTATGACTAAACCCTCATGTATCTGTTTTTTTAAAGGAGGCAATACTTCATTTTTCTACATTATCCTCTTCCAATAAGAAAAAGGCGGTTATACCTTTATGCTCTAAATTCAAAATATTTATGTAATTCCTTTATATGCTTCTATGTGTAGCTTTACTTAATCGCTATTAGTATTTTTACGTTTGTTCAGTTATTTTTTTATTTATTATTACTATTTTTGTTCAAACTGGCGATTATTCTTTGGAAAGTGTCTCTAATAAAGTTAGTTAACCTCCTTACCTCCACCAGCGTGTATGTGCAGGTTCCCATGAACGTGAGCATCTCGCCATCAAAGGTGTAATAGTGCGGGTCTCCAGCAACGTGACACACACCTTTACCTGGGGAGCGTTAAGAAGGGATTTCAGTGAGACCGACCCTCTGGGATACTAGGACTGTTGCTTGTAGTACGGCTCTGTGTGTTACCTGTGGAGTGGCAGCCCAGGACGCCTTCCAGCACCTTGCACTCCTGTGCAGGACTGCACTGCCACGGCTCACAGGTGATGTTTGCGTTCCCGTTGCATTTACAGCGCTCCGAACAGTCGGTCTCTGTGAACCAAGCGTCTCCCACCTGGACAGAAACATGTTAAACTCCCTTATATGGGGCGAAGGCCACAACGTTTGTTTGAAAAAATACTTTTTGAAGCTGAAAAATTTTGAAAAGAAACAAAAACATCAAATAAACAGGAAACTGGTTTGGAAGGATTTTCTTTTATTAAACCGGTCAGATAAACATAGAAGATACATTTCTGGTTCCCACGGTTCCAACAGCAATCAGGCATCTTTGCTGCCAACTTTCATCTAAGCCCCGCCTCCACACAGAGGGGGGAAAGACTGACTTAAAAATTAGAACAAAAGTTTTAAACATTTTTAAATCTTATAAGCTCCCTTTTTAAACGTTTTTTTTTCTTCCTTTGTTTCTTTATTTCCAGTTTCAAATATATTTATTGCTATGGAAGAAGGTTAGTGCCACTAGAAAAAATTATAATTTAATCTTAGAATTCTGAAAATAGAACAAAAAAAATGTGGTAATTTTTTCTTTTTTTTTCAGTGGCCCTAATGCTCTTCCGAATTTTTCCTATTCATTTCTTTTTTGTCTATTTGAAATTTTTTTTAAAACTTTTTTTCTCAGTAAAAAAAAAAAAAAGTGTAATATTTATGGTCCAACTTGCAGTCAAACGTTTGGACACCTACCGGTCTGTACTCTCCGTCTGCGTCTGTACATCCACACTCGTTGAAAGGAACACATTTGTCTCCGCTCAGGACCAGACCCTCGTTGCAGACACAGCCCTCCACGCAGGGGAGGCTGCAGGAGCCGCCGGGCCCGGCGGGGTCCTGACAGCTGGGCTGAGCGCAGGCAGGGGCGCAGGGCTCGTAGTGACTGCCTGATGGGCACTTCAGGGCTGCAGGAGAAAAAGGTTAAACCAGGGAGCTTATTTTTACCCTGAAGCTCATCAATTCACCTTTAAAGCTCAGAGATCGTGAACAGATAGAGGGAATGAGATGAGCGAGGCAGACTTACGGCAGAAGGTGTTGTCTCTCCATGCGATGGGGACTCCTGCAGCAGCACAGAGGTCGGCGTAGCTCTCGATGGCCTGGCACAGAGCCACGGTCTCGCCTCCGGTGGCGCACATGTCGTACACGCAGTTGTCAAAGTAGGGTTCAGGCGGCACGACCGAGAGGCATGGCTTAAAGATTCCTGAAGCCAGAAACAGAACGAAGGGGATTCATGAGAAGCAGGATCGACTTTAAGAAGATCGGCCTAAACTGTCAGATCTTATTATCAGAGCTGGGTAGTAACTTTATCTGAGTAACTAGCTTCATCTGGTCTGTTCCTGTTTGGCTGTGACTCCATCCTGGAGAGAAACATCAGCTGTGCTGCTGCCATCAACACCTTTGTTTCTAGATGTTGGAGCTTGGCCTGTTTTCCAGTGTAGTCCTGTTTCTCTGACTGTGACTAACTGGATGTGCTCTCTTCATCCTCTGACATGGGAGCTGGCTCGGAGCTCGTCTGCCTGGCTGTGTGTTTCCTGGACGGGGCCGCCTGTGGAGCTGGTTGACAGTTGCCTTTTGTATCTATGCTTCTTTTTCTATGTCTGCTTCTGTCTCCTTGAACCCCAGTGGGCCTCAGCAGATGGCCGCTCACACTGAGCCTGGTTCTGCAGGAGGTTTCTTCCTGTTGAAAGGAAGTTTTTCCTCTCCACTGTCGCTACAAGCATGCTTAGACTCTTTTGGTCCAAAGTAACTTCGGTTCAGTTGAAAAACCTCCCAGCCGGTGATGGACTCGATGGAATGAGTATTTTTACTCTCAAAATAATATATTTAGATAAAATGCACTTGAAATAAAACAATGCAATTGTGTTTTATTATTTTGAATGTAAATTGTCTTGTTCCATTGTCAAAATGTCTCGTTTACCTCCTCAATTCAAGATCAAATGCACTTATTTGAAGAATAAATGACTTATTAAGATTTTGTTTTGCTTTTTTCACTGTGCCTATATGGATAGAAATCTTTTTTCCTTTTTGAGAAATTAAACTTTTAATTGCCTGAATTTGGGTCCAACTTCAAGCTCCCCAAATCACAACACTTTCTGATTCTGACCTTTTATGGAACCCTGACCCGTTCTGATGTCTGAAAAGTTCATTGGTTTGTGAGGATGGATCTATTTGAACCAACCTTCTGGATTAATGATCATTCCACAGCTGGTGGGCTTCTGGGCCTCTTCCTCCACGTCTTCGTCACATTCCTCCTCCTCTCCACCATTTGTGCAGCTAAAGAATAAAAAAACAGGGATCATGTTTCTAAAGGTGCATCATGAGTTTTCTAGCTGCATGAGATCTATCTCCGCCTGATGTCTAAAATCCTGGGCAGCCACGATATTTAGCTTAAATTGGAGCTGTCAGCAGGTCTCGTCCTATTGGCTGATTTCATCAGGTTGGGCAGAAAAAGGATTTCCTGTTGAGCAGGAGATGGAAAGGAGGGGTAGGAGTATACGTTATGATGTCATCACTCACTCTGGCCGTGGGTCGGCCACCTGCCAGCTGTCGCCGAGGTCGTTGGTGTTAGAAGCTGCTGTGTTGTCCGGTTTCAAGTTGTCATCTTTGGGGTCCTCGTTGAAATTTCCTGTCAGGAACAGAAAATGTTTTTTTTTAAGTAAAAAATAAGCTTTAAGGGATATTTAGTTTGTTTTTGGAAAACAAAACAAAAAACTAACTAAAAAGTTACATTTATTTTTACTTAAAGCCAAAATGTGTGCACTTTACCCCCATCTAGTGGGCAAGAAGTGCGCTGTAGTGCTTCACCCTTAAAGGAATAGTACACCCAAATGATTAGCCTTCATTTTCTACTCACCCCCATGCTGAACAACACTCTGGAGTACTTTTTTGATATCTCAAATGCATCTGGAGATCTGGGAGGCTTCTTGCTTTCTGCTGACATTCAAATAATGGAGGTCTATGGTGCCTGAGACAGAAAGGTCCATAAAAGTCCACAAAAAACGTGTCAATATTCCTCCATACTGCTCGTCCAATGTATTCCAAGCGTCCTGAGTGGGTAGCATCCAGAATTTACTCGAAACTAAGTCATTTAGAATGTTTTTAGAGCATAAACAGTAGTGTATAGGATTTCCTGAAAGCGCGCGCCGGCGCGTTCATGACGCTACGGAAGGCCGGCAGACCAAGCCAGATGAAAGTGGGCATTCAGCGTCTGCTCTGCCAATAATGCAAGCGTAGAAGAAGAAATGTGCTGTTTACCTGTGCAAAGAAAGAAACAACGAAAGAAAAATGTCTGAGGACTTCAGTGTTGAGGAAGAGCATGAGTTCTTTGCCGAGCTGAATGCGCTGGTTTGGTCTGCTGGCTTCCGTAGCGTCGGGAGCGCGCATGTGCGCGCTTTCAGGAAATCCTATACACTACTGTTTATGCTCTAAAAACATTCTAAATGACTTCGTTTCGAGTAAATTCTGGATGCTACCCACTCAGGACACTTGGAATACATTGGACGAGCAGTATGGAGGAATATTGACACGTTTTTTGTGGACTTTTATGGACCTTTCTGTCTCGGTCACCATAGACCTCCATTATTTGAATGTCAGCAGACAGCAAGAAGCCTCCCAGATCTCCAGATGCATTTGAGATATCAAAAAAGTACTCCAGAGTGTTGTTCAGCATGGGGGTGAGTATAAAATGAAGGCTAATCATGTTTTGGGTGTACTATTCCTTTAAGAACATAATCTACTACAGTAGCCTCGGAGGGTCATAAATGTGATAATATCAGCATCCTGTTCAAGTTAAAGTCTCCCTTCAGTGTGTGACGCACAGAGCGCTACACAGTTCTGTGTCTTTTATGTTCATGCCAATAAGTCACTGCTAATAGCTAACAACTAGTGCTAATAGATAGCAGTCACTTCTTTTTTTTTTTTTTATTTTGCAATATAGCTCTGGGAATACATGTCCCAGAGAGAGCAGCCACTGCTAATACCTAGAATCTACTACTTATAGCTAGTAGCCACTCCTAATAGCTGCTGCTAATAGTAGCTACTTTAAAAAGCTAACATTTACTGTAGGCTAGTATGACTTCTCTAGAGCGTAGCGGAGCGTATGCTAACAAACAAACTAGCCTCTCTGCTGGATGTACAGATTAGTAGCTGGACGACACTGTCCTGTTTCTAACATAACATAATGGACACCGAAATTTCCCTAAAAAAAGTAGTGATCATCCGTGGTCACTAGACAAGCAGATATATATAGGAAGGCTTTGCGCGGAGAGCTCTCCTCGCAAAGGACTTGTTATCGTGTTGACTAGCAAAAATGGCGCAGGCACCGCGCAGGGAAACGGATTTACGTGACCAACGGGGAGCAAAAAGAAGTGATCATCTGTATGAACAGTCAGTTAACTGAGTTCACTATAGAGTTCACCATATAGTTATTTTTTTATTTTGTATCTTTTACGTCAGTAAAGAATGTGAGTATTTGTGACACCTCGGAGTGCTAGCGTGTTTCTTACCACACATGCCACAGAGTAGGCCGTTGTAAGAAGTCGGTACGGTGACATCTGCATGGTGGTTACCATCGAAGCGCACCCTCAGGCCAAAAGATGTTTCCAGAACTACAAATTTCCCACTCAGGTAGACATCCACCCCGCTGGTGGGGGTGACTGGTGTTACAGCCGCCTTCCCGTTGACCTGAAGAGAAACGTCAGATTTGTCTGCCATCATTGAATCACTGCACCGACGTCTGTGAGAGTCTTTTGAGGAGTACGCACCTGGACTTTACGGCCCTTGTTGAGGATCACAGTCACGTTGAACACGTTGACCACCACAGCTCTGACGTAGGAAACCTTCTTGTTGCTTCCTCTGTGCTCGTTCTGGGTGTCCACGGTGAAGTACGGCAAGCCAGATGAGATGTTGCAGGGTTTGGTTAGCGTGTAGGAGCATGCTCCCATGTAGTTGTGGGTGCGCTTATCGAAGGTGGTGTAGTGAGGATCTCCAGACACCGAACAGATTCCATTTCCTGAGAATCAGACGCTGTGATTTAGTCAAAACTCAACTCAGACATTTTCTCACGAGGTCATATTGTACTAACAATACAGAGCAAGAGCCGGCAAACAAGACTGCATCTCTTACTGGCCGAGAGGAGTTTAACTTGGATGGTAGGGATAGCTATGCTAGCTATGCTAACTATGCTAGCTATGCTATCTATGTAGTTATCCGCTTTAGGTTAACATAACAAGTTGTGGTTTCAAAGGTTTTTCTTCTACGCATTAAAGGTATGGTAAATATTTGCTAGCAATAGCTATGATAGCTATGGTAGTTATGCAGTTATCAGCTTTAGGTTAAGAAAACAAGCAGGGGTCTCAAAGGTTTTTCTTCTACACGTTAGAGGTATGGTAAATATTTGCTAGCATTAGCTATGATAGCTATGGTAGCTATGCAGTTATTAGCTTTAGGTTAAGAAAACAAGCAGGGGTCTCAAAGGTTTTTCTTCTACACATTAGAGGTATGGTAAATATTTGCTAGCATTTGCAATAGCAAAAGGTTAAAATTAGCATTAGTGGTTCTGGTAACCGACTGGAACACAATACAGAAGTAGAGCAGGTGACTGCATCTCTTACTGGCCAAGAGGAGTTTAACTTGAATGGTAACAATAGCTATGCTAGCTCTGCTACCTATGCTAGCTAAGTAGTTATCCTCTTTAGGTCAACAAAAAAAGTTGTGGTTTCAAAAGTTTTTCTTCTACGTGTTATAGGTAAGGTAAGTATTTGCTAGTATTAGTGTTAGCAAAGGGTTAGAATTAGCATTAGCGATCCAGGTAACAGGCTGGGAAAGAGTCCAGATGTGCAGCAGGTAACTGCCTCTCTTACTGGCTGACGGAAGTTTAACTTGTAGCGGTCATGTTTGATAAATTATAGGCCTGTTTTAAATCTTTCTTAGGTACATTTTTGGAGAAAAAAGTGGCTAATCTAGAGCGGTTCAGTCATAGCACTGAAACAGCACTGGTGAAAGTCACTAATGATTCTCATGGTCTCGGATAATGGACTTTTATCCCTTCAATCACAATATTCTTTTAAAAAAGCTTCAAATGAGCTGTACACATGAAAGGAATCGCACTAAACTAATTTGATTGTGTTAAAATCCGTTTCTGTTTCCTTAAGCCTCCAAGTAGTTCAAAGCATATTTTTCTGCAGGTTTATTTTATCTGGATACAGAGATAATTTCCCTAAATTTGAGGTGTATTTAATGCCTAGTTGAAAAGGTTTCAGTTTGAGGGTGTTTCACATACCGACAGGTCGGCATTCAAACTGCCCATCGTGCAGCTGGCAGCTCTCAGTTGTTGGTCTACAGCTGGTGTTGTAGCACTGGATCAAACCTCCACCCTGGCACTTGCATTTTTGCTCACAGCCCTCCAAGTACCAATCATCCCCCACCTGCAAAAAACAAAAACATACAAAGTATGATTTCTGCATCAAAACTAAAATTCCTATAAAGATTGTACAGGATTATAGTTTCTCTTCCACTTTAGGGTATTTTTCTTACATTTATCAAGCAGAATAATTAAAGAAAAGCTACTTCTGCAGATACGGGGTCAGTTTGAGGTAATTTCACTCACTGGATGGTAATTCCCACTGGTGTCCACGCAGCCACAGTCCTTCAGTGGGACACATTTGTCATCGCTGAGGATGAAGCCTGGGTTACATTCACAACCCTCTACGCACACGTCCTCGCAGCCGGGTGGGCCGACCACGCCCAGGCAGGTTTCAGGGCAGGAGCTCATGCACAGGGTGTAGGAGCTGTTAGGGGGGCAGGGGATGGCTGCATGGAGGTAGAAAGATGAGGATCAGAAACAGGAATGCAAAACAATAGAACAGGTTATGTGTTGATAATAAAGCAGATTATGTATAAAATAATGAAATATTTCCTGGAATAAGTTAATTATAATTATATCTACAAAGGAAGCCTTACTGTAAACTGGTATCAGTCATTTTATATTCTGTTTGTGTAATAAGATCTTTTAATCCTTATCTTAAATCCAGAATCTTGTTCTATTGTCAGATCATTGGCAGATACACTTCAGGAAATGTTACTTTTAATTTCGTTTTTGTGGCATATAGTCATATTTATATACCATAAAGATTCATTATACATGGAACACAGCAAGACAACAAAAAAATCTGATTTAAAAAAAAAATCATTTTCAAAAGTATTGCAACAGGAAATTTATATGTATAAAATTGTTGAGCTGATTTTTCTCTTTTCAGTCCACTAGGGGGCGTCATGGTCTGTTAAGATGGAAGTAATCAGCAGGGTCACTTCATGATCAACCAGATCATGCCATAGATTGCTCTTCATCAAAAAAGATCCCATTGCTTTTTCATTTTTATGATCATAAAAACTGTACTAAAGTACAATGTGTAAATTGTTAATAACTTTCCTGAGAGAATTAATGCCTTTAAAGCTCGTCTGTTCATCCATCCCTTTTCTGGGGTGGATCGTGAGCAGATCCCCAATCTGGCAAGACGTTCATAATGTCAGGAATAGCGTTGAGTTCCAGGTTTTATACAGTTGCCCAAAAAAGCCTCGTTTTGGCCGAGAAATCTCTGAAAAACTCAAGAGGATTTTTCAAACACAAAATCCCAGAACATTTAAAACCAAACAGACCCTGAAACAGAGACTAGTTCATCCTAAAGACCTAATCTGAGCAGAGTGGTGTCTGCAGGTCAATGCAGTGAGGAATGCTCTAAACTTTATATTGGAGAAACCAAACAACCTCTCCACAGATGCAACGCTATTCCTATTTTGAATCGAAAAAGCTTCTTGGATGGAAGAGAAACGTCTTCAAACTTGGAAACAAAGTCCAGTGGATTGTTTTTGAACTTTTGTGGAATGACCATGACCTGGATGACCGAGGAGCTTCACCAGCTGAAAAACTTACGGCAGAAGTCTGGAGTCCTCCAATCGTGGACCTTGGCTCCGGCGCTCTGGCAGGCATCGGTGTAAGCTTGCATCTGGTCGCACAGTACGCTCTGCTGGCCGCCGTACCGGCACATGTCATAAACGCAACTCTGGAAGAATGGAGTGGGGTCGACAAGTCCGATACAATCCCTGCAGAACGCAGAAACACATGCTGGGTTTAGGGGGGATTTAAGAAGTACTCACCGAAGTCTCCCAAACACCCAGAAAGAAAGACTGATGGAATCATTTAAACATGAAAACCTAATAATAATTAATAAGACTACAATTAAGCAATATATTTAAATAAATGTATCTTAAAACCTTTCTCATTTAATGACTTTATTTGTAATATTCAGAGTGACTGATTTTGTCTCACAGAAACCTGGCAGCAACAAGAGGATTGTATTATTAGGGACGTGCACAGATAGACACTAAGTGGTGCTAGAGCGCCTGCCCTTTTCCCCTCTGGACAGAAAAAGGCCCTTCTGAAGTAGTTTTTTTTTTTTCTTTCTTTTTTTTTTTAGTCTTTGGCCCAAAGTACCAAAGTAGAGTCTAGAATTTTATTAATTTTGCTCCTCCAGATGTATAGCACCGCCTCAATACTAGAGCGTTGCCTTGGTAACTAAACAAGCAGATTTACCTCCTTCACAATATAACGTCTATAATGGCCTCCAATGTCATAATCTTGTGGATGATTGGTTTAATTACTCATTCCATTCACCTGTCTAACTTTGCATGGTTTCTCATTACTGCCCATCGATCCACCTGTTCCTACCTCTATTTAAGCTGTCTAAGCTCAGTCATCAAGGCCAGATTATTCTCTTGAGACGGTGGGGAGAGTTACGTTAAGGCTGGTTTATTGTTAAAAGGGAGTTTTTTCTCTCCACTGTCGCTACAAGCATGCTTAGTGTGAGGGATTGCTGAAGAGTCAATGAGTCGATGCAATCAGCTGGTTTTCCTTAGATAGAAAACTTTGAATCAATCTGACTGAATGATCTGGTTGAACTGGAAAAGTGCCTTGATATGACGTGTTGTGAATTGGAGCTATAGAAATAAACTGAATTCAATTAATTTCAAAATAAAATAAACAACATTTCAGAAGTGATCTTTTTATTCCCAGTTTGTCAGGATGTAGAGACCTCCACCTCTACTTCTATGGCTAAAGTAAATACCTGTGTTCATAGATGTGTAACCGTAGTTATGATCATATCCAGCGTTCAGATTAAAATCTAAGATGTGATCATAAACAGAATAAAGGAGCCTTTTGAAAGCTAAAATATATCACATAATTGTTTTCTCATAAAACATTCAGGATAATAAACTCATAACTCCTCTTTATCTGGAGCATGTCATGATTGAGAACCAACAGCAGATAGAAAGTTGCTGACACTGCTGAGAACAAAGAACTACTCCCTGGTATAAAAGGATTAACGGCGGCACTAAAAAGGAACTATAGACACTCCTTTGTGTTTCAGGAAGGAAAACTTTTTTAGCGTTTTTATTGTACGCAGATAAATACACACCCATTTTCTAAAGGTGTCCTCTAAGAATGAAGATTTCTATCATTTTCTACTGTGTTTTATATGTTATTCTTTTTATTATGACAATAACTTGATGTAAACTCCTCTCCTGTTAAAAAACTCTTAAAGGAAAAGTCGCTCATATTCAGAATCCAAACTTTTGAAAGTTCTTTAAATCTGAAATGATTCCATCCTGTTCAATAAAAAGTGTTTGTAATTCAGAGTAATTTTCATGTGAATGTGCTTTACTGGAGGCATCCATGTTTGTCAAAGAACACTACTGCCACCTACTGGTTAGTGACATTGTCACGGTGCGGTATCGGCTGTTGATCAAGTCCCAGTGCTGTATCTGGTGTTTGTCACAATGCGCTATTATCCAAGTCATCTTGAAAACATTCTTCTTCCAAATGTCGGCTACATATTACGGGTTTTTTCTCTGGCCAGAAGTTCGATGGCAAATCCTCCCTCTTCAAGTTGGCAAGACTCAATTATCTCAATGTTTTTTTACTGATTAACGTTAATTTATTAAATCTCTGCGAACGCATTCGTTTTAGATATAAATAATGAATCATTGATTGTTCCTTGCTGACCAGACTTCTCCTTTAAGATTTGGTCTTACCTGAACGGTCCAGATGGGTCTGTAATTCTGCCGCATTGGTCTGGTTTCGACACCTCAGCCTCGAGACTCGGGTCGCACTCTGGGTCCGGCTTCGTGCCTTCGGTACACCTACAGATTAGAGGGGGAGCTTTTTTATTTTCAGCTCGTAAAAGCAGAAGTTCTTCCACACGATGAAGACATGCATTCAATCAAAGATGGTAAGCAGATCAATCTGAATTCCAAAAAAGTTGAAAAAATCTATCCGCTGGACTTTGTTTCCAAGTTTGAAGACGTTTCTCTTCCCATCCGGGAAGCCTTTCAAGTCAAAATGTCAAAAATAATGTTGAGTTCTAGGTTTTATCCAGTAGACCAACAGTTCACCCATCAGCCAGGCCAACTATTCCCTCTAACGACCCCCCTTTCAGAGGCATAGACAGGTATGGGGCATTGCAGGCTAACAAAGAAGCCAAACGACCCCCATTCCAAAGGGGGGGACCCGTTCATCCGTTTCTATTTGCATGTTTTCTAAACTAAAACCAGGCTTTGTTGGGCTGCTGGATAAAACCTGGAACTAAACGCTATTTCTGACATTTTTAATCGAAAAAATTCCTGGATGGAAGAGAAACGTCTTCAAACTTGGAAACAAAGTCCAGCGGATTGTTTTGAACTTCTGTGGAATGACGATGACCCGGATGACTGAGAATGTTCACCAGCAACAATATGAATAAACTCACGAGTCATCCTCATCCTCTTCTGTCTGCCAGCTGTTTCCAAAGTCATTAACGTTTCCCACCAGGCTGCCGTCTGGTTTGGTGAAGTCATTGTCTGGGTTCCCATCGTAGTCACCACAGAGGCCACACATCTGGTCATAGTAGGAGCTGCAGGGACACAACGAAGAGAAAAATCCAGTCCTCAAATCCTGCGTTCTAACCATGGAGGATTTATGGGGCGTCTCAGCCAGCAGGCTACTTATGAACACGTCTTTACCAACCTTGGAACGGAGATCTGGGCATAATGATTTCCATCCCAACGCACACGCAGGCCGAAGGGCGTCTCCAAGGTGACATACTGACCGGCCAGACTGATGGATATGAGAGGAGACGGCGAGTGAGGAAGAGCCACACGCCGACCGTTCACCTGCAAGAGCGTTGAATGGAGAAAATGAGTTTAACAAGACTAAGGCCCAGTCCCATTTCTCTCACTTGACTAGTTTTGGATCCTAGCACCCGGTTTTGCACGTTCATGTGAAAGGTTAGTGTGTCCCAATACTTTTAAGAGCTAGGGGGAAGTGCCCTCCAAACCTTGAAATGATCCTCAGACCGAGTGAGGTCGGGAGCTGACTTCAAAACGAAGTGGCTTCCCAGGGCTCATTAAGTAAAAGTTAAAAAGAACTGTACGAATGTACGTATATTTTTTACAATTAAACACGTATTTAAAAAAAATATATATTGGGACATCTTAGTTAGACGTAAATACAACTGAATTCCTGACTGTTGCGTTAAAACATGAATATTGCAAAATCGCAATTTCTCGTAAAAAACAAGTTTTTTTAATAATGTAAAGTAGGATGATTATGGCAGCAGTGGGGTTGGTTGGATGTTCAGGCTCCAAAGGGTCAGTGCTATCTAGCTCACGGTTGTTGATCTAGCCAGGGCTAACGATAGCCCGTCTGCGGCAGCCAGGGCTAACGATAGCCCGTCTGCGGCAGCCAGGGCTAATGATAGCCCGTCTGCGGCAGCCAGGGCTAACGTTAGCGCTAGCTGCTTTTCAGAGATGGGAAGTAACGAAGTACAAATACTTCGTTACTGTACTCAAGCAGATTTTTCTGATATTTTTACTTTACTACTTATTTTTATGGTGACTTTTTACTTCTACTCCTTACATTTTTACACAAATATCTGTACTTTCTACTCCTTACATTTTAAAAAATTGGCTCGTTACTTTAGTTTTGAATCATTTCAATGGAGTTACCGTTATTATTTTTCACGTCATCAATACCAAATTCAATCTAATTGGATGGGAATCTACGTTGCATTTGACGCACCACTACAAGATGAATCGACAGATTCGGCTGTATTCATTGGCGGCAAATCATTGCAGCTTGGTGGCGGTGGCGTTAGCATAGTAGCATGGACGACGAGATGATTGAAAATGAACACAACGGAGATCTAGTCCTATTGGCAGACATCCATTTAAAATGTAGGCAACGGCATGAAAAAAGTGGTTTCTACTTTTACTTTTATACTTTAAGTAAATTTACAAGCCTGTACTTTGTTACTTTTACTTGAGTAAAGAAGTTTAATCAGTACTTCCACTTTTACCAGAGTATTTTTTAACACAAGTATCTGTACTTTTACTCAAGTACGGAAAGTGAGTACTTTTGCCATCTCTGGTGCTTTTATACTTCAATTAGTTTTAAAAATGGTACTTTTACACTTTCACTGGAGTAAAAATCTGAAGTTGATCCTCTAACTTCTATAAAAGTGTTTTAAACAGTAGGATTTATACTGGAGGAATCAACATGAATATTTTTGACACCTCTGCATTTAGGAGAACTGAAGGAGTTTATCTGTGTATATTTATACTAACAGAACCACAGAAAGTTTATTTTGGATCCTTGGATCCACTGAACAGTAGAAATAATCTGGACCAAACTCTGGATCCGTGCCGCGCTTCGCAAATACCAGAGGCTCTGCTAAAGAATGAACAGCAACACCCTTTAAAACAGCAGAACATTATAACACTGAAATGTTCTTAGCGAACTTTATTATTTAACTGGATGAAACCTTTTAAGTCGCAGGGAAGCGGCCGTTCCAACCGTTGCATTTCCGAATTCTCCCGAGTGGTGCCCGACTTTACACGAGTGAATAAAGTGAATGTGATTGGTCGATTATCAAGGGGGCGGGATTGTTGTGGTGGAAGGTTTGCAAGCAAATTTAGTTGTGGCCGGTTTGTGGGAAGCATCTTGCTAACCAGTTAGCAACTTAGTGCTAGCAGGTTCCCAATGGGAAATTCCATTGGGAACCTGCTAGCACTAAATTGGTGACTTAGAAACGACGCTGTCAAGGAACGCTATGGACAGAGGAAACATGCAAGAGGAGGAGAGTTTAGTGTCGGAGGTCGTGGATGAGTCTCCTCCGTCATCCATTTTTTATTTAGAGGAGGAAAGCGGGGACGAAGATGTTGTGGAAGAGGGCGGCAGAAGCTTGGTTTGGTGTAGAAGGCTTCCAGCCGTCCATGTTTGAGCCCTTGCCTCGCAACGCTGCCAGTTCTGTTAGCTCTACGCCTGCCGAAGACACAGACGTCCATCCCCGTGAACACTGGGACGCAACTCAATGGGAAAGGAAAGGATTCTGATTTCAACCGTTGCGTATGTTAGCTGCGACACATGAATCAAGATGCTATGACCGAAAACATTTGATTGACAGATGACCGTTGATATATGATTGGATGAATTTAGGTGTTCAGGCTGACGTTTTTTAAATAGACATTTTCTAACTTTTGAGACATTGAGTACATTTATATACATGTTTAAGGCAGAAATGTCTGTTATTCATATGTTGGTTTGTTCATATTCCCAGGATGTAAATGAAAGTAGTATTTATACTGACCAGAGTTCTCCTGGCCTTCATCAGGGTGACGGTGATTCCATCCACCGTGACGTAGAGCTTCCTCAGGTAGGACACGCCCGGCGCACCCCGCTCCTCATTCTTTGCCTCCACAGAGAACCAAGGACCTGCACCGACACCAAAGCCACATAATAACCTACTCAACTTGGTTCTATTTCCTCTAGATCTGTTCACTATTTGATTCATTTTATCACATGTACATTTTGTTGCTAAGAAATTATTTTTAGTGACTTCATATATACACTTTATCTTTTTGTCCAGCTGCATTTTTTGGAATTTAAAAAAGATTCAAATGCATGAAAAATATTCTATATATTTAAAACATGTTCCATAGAAACTCACCATGAATTTATAATAAAACACTTGGAATTGTTTTTCAGTTATTTTAAGAATACTATGTGGTTTGAATGTCCTTCATCCGCGACTCTTCTCTAAAAAATCTTTACAATGACTTATATGACATAACCCAGTTTCATTCTTTAACATTTAAAGATTGCCCTTTCTATTAAAATCATAATTTTACAGATTAGAGGGGGAGCTTTTTTATTTTCAGCTCGTAAAAGCAGAAGTTCTTCCACATGATGAAGACATGCATTCAATCAAAGATGGTAAGCAGATCAATCTGAATTCCAAAAAAGTTGAAAAAATCTATCCACTGGACTTTGTTTCCAAGTTCGATCGAATTCAGTTTGTTCATGTTAATGATAGATCTTCAACACGCTCAAAGGTTACCTGTGGAGTACCACAGGGATCAGTGCTAGGACCAATTCTCTTTACTTTATACATGTTCCCAATTGGTAGAGTTATTAGACAGCATGGGATTAATTTCCACTGTTATGCTGATGATACCCAGCTATATCTGTCTATAATCCAGATGAAGCTAACCCATTACATAGATTACAGGCATGTCTTGAAGACATAAAAACCTGGATGACTCTTAACTTTCTGCTTCTGAATGCAGATAAAACAGAAGTTATAGTCTTTGGACCAGAGTCTCTGAAAAAGAAACTGATTAGCCAGTCACTTCATTTGGATGGGATTAAACTGATTTCAGATAATAAAGTAAAAAATCTTGGTGTTATTTTTGATCAGGACCTGTCATTTAAATCCCAGATCAAAGAGGTTTCTAGAATTTCCTTCTTTCATCTGAGGAATATTGCAAAAATGAGCAATCTCCTGTCCAGGGGTGATGCTGAGAAACTAGTCCATGCATTTGTTACTTCAAGCCTGGACTAGTATAATTCTTTACTATCAGGAAGTCCACAAACTGTAGTTAAAAGCCTTCAGCTGATCCAAAATGCTGCAGCCAGAGTTCTAATGAAAATGAAAAAGAGAGATCATATCTCGCCTATCCTGGCTTCTCTTCATTGGCTTCCTGTTAAATCCAGAATAGAATTTAAAATCCTCCTTCTCACATATAAAGCCTTAAATGGCCAAGCTCCATCTGATATCAGAGATCTGATTGTTCCTTATGTTCCTAACAGAGCACTTCGCTCTCAATCTGCAGGTTTACTAGTGGTTCCTAGAACTTCTAAAAGTAGAATGGGAGGCAGATCTTTTAGTTCTCAGGCTCCTCTCCTGTGGAACCAACTACCAGTTTTAGTCCGTGAGGCAGACACCCTGTCTACTTTTAAGGCTAAGCTTAAAACTTTCATTTTTGATAAAGCTTCTAGTTAGAGTGGCTCAGGTTATCCTGAGCTATATCTCTATAGTTATGCTGCTATAGGCTTAGACTGCTGGAGGACATAGGGACCCCCATTTCATCATTCTGCTTCATTCTCTCTCTGTTCTCCTATTCTGCAGAATCTGTTAGTTCAATCTCTAACCTTCTGCTCTCTCTGCTTTTCCTCAGAGTAGCTTTGCCTCGTCTGTTCCTGTTTGGCTGTGACGTCATCCTGGAAAGAAACATCAGCTGTGCTGCTTCCATCAACACCCTTGTTTATAGATGTTGGAGATCGGCCTGTTTTCCAGTGTGGTCCTGTTTCTCTGACCGTGACTGGCTGGATGTGCTCTCTTCGTCCTCTGGCATGGGAGCTGCCTTGGAGCTCGTCTGCCTGGCTGTGTGTTTCCTGGACGGGGCCGCCTTTTACAGCTGCTTTTTCTATGTCTGCTTCTGTCTCCTTGAACCCCAGTCGGCCTCGGCAGATGGCCGCTCACACTGAGCCTGGTTCTGCTGGAGGTTTCTTCCTGTTAAAAGGGAGTTTTTCCTCTCCACTGTCGCTACAAGCATGCTTAGTGTGGGGGATTGTATTTGAGTCAATGAGTCAATGCAATCAACTGGTTTTCCTTAGATAGAAAACTTTGTATCAATTTGACTGTATGATCTGGTTGAACTGTAAAGTGCCTTGAGATGACATGTGTTGTGAATTTGGCGCTATATAAATAAACTGAATGGAATTGAATTGAATTAATTTTCATACACATTTAGTTTTATGATTTCCATCTCATGAAATGTCATGTGGCGTTTCCTTAAAATATTTACAGAAGCGTAATGCATTCACCAAAAAAAAAAAAAAAAAAATCAGACAGCTTATCTCATAATTACGAGATACTGATCTCGTAATTATGAGATAACCTGTCTGATATTTTTTCTTCGGTGAATACAATATGCTTCTGTAAATGATCACCGCCTTAGGTCTTTTATTTTAACAGAACTCCAAGGACAGGAAGTTGCATCATACAGGAGAGCACATGCACAGCAGCTAGCAGGTTTGTTACTTTCTCTCAGCTTCTGACACGGTTTGAGTTTCGTAAGGTTTCACCATGTGGTGTGACCTTAGAACAACAATTAATATTAGGTGTTTAACAAATATAGTTTTTTATAATACAGTAATGTTTTGCATAGATGCTAATTCTTAGCCACTTAGCAATGATTTTCATTGGAAATTTCATGTGGGAAAACTAACGATCATCAGAGAGCTTTTCATGAAAAAAGCATGAACTTCAGCTACTGAAAGTTTTCAGGAATTGCTGCAAAGTTTAATTAGCCATAAACACGGCTTTTTCGCGCGGCGCATACCTGTGTTGTTCTTGCACGTTCTGGCCAGTGTGTAAGTGCAGGTTCCCATAAAGCTGTAGTACTTCTTGTCAAACGTATTGTAGTGAGGATCCCCTGAAACAACGCAGTCCTGGAAGCCTGAACAAGAACAACAAAAAACCTTAAAACACATTCAAAGCTCAAAGAACTGATTAGTAAAGCATTAAGAGGATAGACGCTGCAGTCCCTCACATGACCTACAAATTAGTGACATATGTGCTGTATTCAACACTTACTAGAAGGATAGCAGCCTAATTCTCCATCCTGGACTTTGCACTCGTGCTTTGGAGGACACTCAGAGGCCACGCAGGTGACATTGGGTGAATCGCACCTGCACTTCAGCTTACAGTCGTCCAAATAAAACTCCTCTTCAGGCTAAAATGAAGAAAACATTCTGGAAAATCAACTTTTCTACTTCTTTAATATGCAAAATGTATAGAAGCAGATAAAATCAAATGATTATTATATTGATACATTAGCTTTAAATTAGAAGTTACACATTTATGTACCTCGTAATACTGGCCATTGGTGTGAGTACAGCCACAGGTATTTTTCGGGACACATTTGCCAGCACTTAGGACGTAACCAGGATCGCACACACACCCCTCAGAGCATGGTCCACCACAGGAGGGAGGTTTTCCAGAGCAGGTCTCTGGACAGGGGTCAGCACAGGGCTCAAAATGGCTGTTGGACGGGCAATTTAGTGCTAGAAATGGGAAATCCAGCAAATGTCAGTGATGGGGCCCAAACAAGATTAGAAATGCAGTACAGATCTCATAAGAAACATGAAGATACTTTCTTGACAAGTATTCATCTTTAGACGTTACAATACAAATCACAGCTAGTGTTTTATAGCTAGCAGCATTTGGTTAAGTAGCTCTGTGTTAAAATTTTTTCATAATTATATTTTGCGTATATTTCAAAAATTCAGATGAAATGAAAGCTCTTTATGACCCTGTCACAGCTTGCTGATTTATCCAGCGTGTACCTGACGTCCCAGAATCTCCTAAAACGATGGCAGACACTGAACTTTCTATGGATTTTTTTCCATTTTTGGCGTAAACATAGAGAATTCATAACGAGCCCAGAACTTATGCTTAACGCACGGCAGCGTAATGCCCATGAAATGATGGGCAAAGTCTGCTGTTCCTCTGTAATGGGGTTGGGGTTGTGATGATAGCGGGAAGGAATCAACTAAATTGCTGAATTATAGGTTTTTGAAAGCTGAAATCTGAACCCACCCCCTGACTTTATTCTTTCCTGCTATCTTCGGTACCCCCACCCCTTTACAGGGTAACAGAAGACCTCGCCTATTTAGCCAGGCCAACAATTCTCTTTAACGACTCCCCTTTCAGAGACATAGACAGGCTAACAAAGAAGCCAAACGACCCCCATTCCAAAGGGGGGGACCCCTTCATCCGTTTCTATTTGCATGTTTTCTAAACTGAAACCACGCTTTGTTGGGCTGCTGGATAAAACCTGGAACTAAAAGCTATTTCTGACATTTTGGATTGAAAAAGCTTCCTGGATGGAAGAGAAACGTTTTCAAACTTGGAAACAAAGTCCAGTGGATTGATTTTAACTTTTTTAGAAAATCAATTCAGTCATTTAACTGACAGCCTTCTTTGTAACTTTCATCGCAAAGAGCCAATACTCACGGCAGAAAGTGTCATTCCTCCAGGGTCCGATGTTAACCCCACGGTCCTGGCACTCATTGACGTAGGCCTCAATAGCTTCACACAGAATGGGTCTGGCTCCTTCCAGTTCACATAGGTCAAACAAACAGTCCTTGAAGTGATTCTGAAAACATAGAATTGAGTTACTGCGCTGAATGGTGTCCCTGATCTTACGTTAAAGTCTGTCCCAGAAAGCGGAAACAATCATATACATTACATTTATAGTTACATTATATTTGTTTTACGTGGATTTTATGACTAATGACTAACTAAACTCCTACTAATCACCACATACATTTGGGTTGACTTTGGGGTGGCAGGCAGCGAACGGTCCGTCTTTGTCCAGCAGGATACCACAGTATCCAGAACCCTCATAAAGCTCCTGCTCTTCTTGATCACATCCAGGGATGGTAGTGTTGGGTGTCTTATTACACCTGTCAAAAAAGGTCCATTGTTTAGCTTTCATTTTGCCAATTGAACTTCATAAATAAAATCACCTTAACTGGATAGCACTGTTTGTGTAATAAGTTTAATCAAATAAGGAGAAACCCTGCAGGTTTTTTCGTTTGTTTTCATATTAGATTTAAAAGGAAAATGACAGAAAATTAACTTCCAGAAACATGTTTCCCTGGATCTTTGCATTTGTTCAATACTCACTCTGGATCTGTGTTCCAGCTGTGGCCAAACTCATTTGGATTGCTTGCCAAGGCTCCATCTGGTTTCCGGAAGTCATCTTTGGTATTTCCGTTATAATCTCCACACAGTCCACACAGTATATCCTCATAGCTGCAGTTAACAGAAAATATTCACTTAAACATCGTATAGAAGTGTAAACTGTTGTAAAAATTGCCAGAATGTCTGATGAGATCCAGGAATGTGGCGTTTGCGCCATAAACAATTTCCAATTAATTTATGCCAAAAACCCACCATCAGGTAGGATTCTGTACAATAGAAACGATTAAAATATATCACTGATGAATATCACGTAAAGTTGTCACTTACTCCTTGATCACTTTAATGTCCATGAAGTGGTTTCCATCGTAACGAACAGTCAAGCCAAAGGTTGTGGACACGGTATAATATTTTCCTGACTTGAAGACGGAGACGCCAGGGACTGGACTCACTGGAAGGTTAACATTGGTCCCATTTACCTGTATGGAAAAAGCAGGTGTGGAAAAAATGAATCGAGATGAATTCACAGAAAAACCAGTGAAAAACATCAATCAAGATGATTGCAAACAAAATATTGTCACTAAATAACAACTTCCTTAATTTCTTAAACCAGAGCCCCCTGTCAGCATCACATACCTGTCTGTCATTATCCTTATTACTAAATTATTACCCTCTTCACCCCACTGAGAGCACACATTTCACAACCAAGCTTTCTAGCTACTGCTTATTAGCTTTAAATTCACTAGTGAACTAGCTTAAGTTTTATTGTTGGAGGTAGCCTCAGCTGCCTGCTGATTAGCAACAAGACCCTAGATCTCTGAGTCAAATGACCACTCTTCGCCAGCTTCCAACGAGGTTGGCATTCCAGGGTAGGCCGCATAGAATATGTGAGCAAGTTAGCAGAAACAGGATGACGACTATGTTTCCGGACTTTGTCTCAAAGCTAACATCCTCCTGGAAAGAAATATTATCCCTATGCACAACAGTGCCCGGATACAGGCAGTAGAACTATGTTGACCTTGACGGTGCCAACAAAGCTGGACTGGTCAGTTTTTCAGTCATGTATCCATTCCTGGCTGCTTATCTGGGTTCACCATAACGAAGGTACGTGTGGGCCTGTGATCTTTACATCTAAGCTGTGCAATTTGTTTACGTCCCAGAAGGAGAAAACCAAAATGCCAAAGTGACCACTGCCTTGTAAGATTAGGTCAACTTCTATGCTGCAAAGTACCAGGCTTTGTGCCTGACACAGCACAAAGCTCTAATACCACCCAAATATCAGTCTAGGCAACTGGTAAAGCAGAGCTGATGAGTACCCCATAATCTCATTTGGCAAAAATAGCAAGAACGTCCTTGATCAAGCTCTCCAACAACTTCTGGATGGGGTATTGACAACCTAGGAGACCCTGATTTAAGCAATCGCCTCGGTTTTGTTAAGGGATGCAGTGACACTCTCTTAACTATTGACTCAACACTTCGGTGAATTACTATTTTGTTTTTCCAACACTTTCATACCTGCACAGTGCCACCTTTGAGAATTGAGATCTTCGTCATGAACACATGTACGTGAACCGCCTTGAGGTAGGAGATGGTGGGTCTGTTATAACGGTTTTCATTGTCTGCATGGACCTCAAAGTATGGTAGGCTTGTGTGATTGCAGGGTGCAGACATCAGGTAGCTGCAGTTGCCCATGAAGTTGTATTTGCGTTTGTCAAAGGTTGTGTAGTGAGGATCTCCAGATGCTATGCATGTTGATGAATCTAAGAGGAAGAAGAATCAATAAACTGTTCATCTGAAGCTTCTTTTGAGTGCTTTAGATACAAACCGTTTGTTCCAACTGTGCCTCAGAATGACTTATGTCTTTAGGAACTAAACAGTTGCTGAAAATTCTCAAATCTGAGGCTCACCAAGACATCATTACCTTTAGGATAGCAGCTAGAAACACCATTGACCTCTCGACACTCTTCGGTGGGATCACAGGAGTTATCAACGCAGTCAAAAGTGTAGTTCCCCAAACAGCGGCAAAACTTTGAACATCCATCTCCTGATACTATCTCGCCAGGCTGAAATAAGATGGAACAAGAAATCAGTAAAAGGACTCACCTTAAAGATTCCAGAACTAACTTGCTGTTCATTGACATATTTCTATTCCTTTTAAAATAAATGTAACATAAAATGTCACCTTACCTCATAATAGTTATTGCCATCATCCAAACAGCCACATTTATCTAGTGGAACACAACGCTTTCCCTTGAAGACATATCCAGGTTTACAGAAGCAACCACTGATGCAGGGTCCAGAGCAGTTGGTGGAAGGTTCCTGACACGATGGGATACAGGATGGTCCGCATTCAATAAACTCTGCATTTGGTGGACAGGGTTCTGTTCACAGAAGAAAGAAAACAGAAGAAGACATTTGGGAAGGGGCAGTAAGTAATGGAAACATTGGGTTTTTCATAGTAGTTTGTAGAGACTTCATTACAAATTATATATTTAAAGGTCATTTTTGACCAAAATGATTATTTTAAAAAAGTAATACCCCAACAGTTCTCCTGGAGGAGTCCAGAATAAAAGTGATAATTTTGATTTAAAGAAAATACAAAACAATTGAATCAATTGACGCGTCCAATGTATCTAAAATTATACATCTGGTTACGAAGTTAACATCAGCAGGAAAGGATTCTGCACAAGTCGGTACATTGTGTTCAAATCACATGAGATGGAGGTCAGACTTTATCAAATTTTAGTAGCTTTGTGAAAGAACTGAAAAATCGCTTCTTTACTGTATCACACTTCTCAGAAACAAGCCAAAAATAAACAAGCAAAACAGAAGCAAAACAGGGGCTAACAATGCTCAAGCTTTTTAACATTTCTTGGACTGTAGGAGGACAGGCAGGGGAAGACCATCCACACGCCATGCAGAAAGATCCCGCAATGGGAATCAAACCCAGACTCATCTGGCAACAACCCACCGTCCACTGTATAGCCCATGTTTTCAACAACAAAAGTCTAATATTTAGTTCTTTTTCTTAGTTTTTACATTTTACATCATGTCATTGATGACTAAGAATCTTTCCCAGATTCTTTGGCCTTAAATTGAAACTGCCATATCTCAGAATGGGTAAACTTACTAGGATAGCAGCCTAATTCTCCATCCTGGACTTTGCACTCATGGGTTGGAGCACACTCAGAGGCCACACAGGTGACATTGGGTGAATCGCACCTGCATTTCAGCTTACAGTTCTCTGAATAAAACTCCTCTCCAGGCTGAAAAGAGGAAAAGATCAATGAAAGTCTAAGACAGTTGGAATGTTTAATCCTGTTGTTAATTCAGTACGAATATGTACTCCACTTGCAAAAATTACAAAGCACATTAATAAAAGTTAAGCATTTGTCTGTGGTCATGGCTCTCATTAAAGTAGAGACGTCAGACATAAGTAGGGTATACTCCAATGGATTTCCAGTTGGGCCATTCATGCCCAGCTCTCTGTACCTCGTAATACTGGCCATTGCTGTGTGTGCAGCCACAGGTATTCTTCGGGACACATTTTCCAGCACTTAGGACGTAACCAGGATCGCACACACACCCCTCAGAGCATGGTCCACCACAGGAGGGAGGTTTTCCAGAGCAGGTCTCTTGACAGGGGTCAGCACAGGGCTCAAAATGGCTGTTGGAGGTGCAGTTCAGTGCTAGATATAACAAAACAGGGAAGAGTCAATTATACAACTCAGATAGAGGCAGACATGTATTAGACATCTTATATTAACCATCAGGGTACTTTCTAGACTAGTATCAGTATTAAGATGTTATAATCATCTCTAAGCAAGTATTTTAAACTTTTTAAAAAGTCTCTAACAGTATTCATCAGTTACTAGAGGCTTTGGTAAAGTCGATTTTGTATGAATGATTTTTGTAAAGTCAGTCATTTAACTGACCATTATAATCCCTCACAGCCTTCATTCTAACTTTCATCTCATCGCAAAGAGCCAATACTCACGGCAGAAAGTATTATTTCTCCAGGGTCTGACGTTAACCCCACGGTCCTGGCACTCATTGACGTAGGCCTCAATAGCTTCACACAGAATGGGTCTGGCTCCATCCAGTTCACATAGGTCAAACAAACAGTCCTTGAAGTGATTCTGAAAAGATAGAATTCAGTTTCTGAGTTACTACGCTGAATGGTGTCCCTGATCTTACGTTAAAGTCTGTCCCAGAAAGCAGAAACAACCAATCAGTGTTTACTAGTCACTGCTTAACAATGAAGATTTCCTAATTCGACACATGATATGGTTTTACGTGGGGTTATCAATAATGACTAACTTAGCTCCAACATTTACTACATACATTTGGGTTGACTTTGGGGTGGCAGGCAGCAAACGGTCCGTCTTTGTCCAGCAGGATACCACAGTATCCAGAACTCTCATAAAGCACTTCCTCTTCTGCAGTACATCCAGGAACGGTAATGTTAGGTTTCTTATTGCACCTGTCAACACAAGTTGGGCTCATTGTTTAGCTTTCATTATGCCAATTGTAGATTCTAAATCAAGTAACTTGCATTGAATCAAACTCAGAAGAAATCAACTAAACAGCCCTGAGCTTAAATTTTAAAACAGTTTGACTGCATAAGCAAAACTTTGTGGTGTTGTGGTTCATTTGTGACTTCTGGCTAAAAGACAAAATATAAAGAAGGTAAGAAATTTTCCCTTTGAAGAAACACGTTTCTCTTAGTTTTCCTGGATCTTTACATTTTTTCAATACTCACTCTGGATCTGTGTTCCAGCTGTCGCCAAAATCATTTGGATTGCTTGCCAAGGCTCCATCTGGTTTCCGGAAGTCATCTTTGGTATTTCCGTTATAATCTCCACACAGTCCACACAGTATATCCTCATAGCTGCAGTTAACAGAAAATATCCACTTAAACATCATATAGAAGTGTAAACCAGTGAAACAATTCACTCAAAGATCTTTGTGCTTTTGCCACAATGTCAAATATTGTCCAAGAATTTGAGACTTTTCTACATTTAGTAGAAGATCACAAAGTAATATTATGTAAAGCCGTCACTCACTCCTTGATCACTTTAATGTCCATGAAGTGGTTTCCATCGTAGCGAACAGTCAAGCCAAAGGTTGTGGACACAGTATAATGTTTTCCTGACTTGAAAACGGAGACGCCAGGAGCTGGACTCACTGGAAGGTTAACGTTGGTCCCATTTACCTGTATGGAAAAAGCAGGTGTGGAAAACATTAATCAAGATGATTGCAAATACCATCTCAGAGCCCACTGCTTCTTAATTTAAACAAGATAAGGATGATTACAGAGTATATAATTTGCATTTTCAACAGTTGCACTCTCACTGTAAAGAGATATGGTCAGCAAGTGTCTCATTGTGCCATTTAGCAAAGTGTTGATAAAGGGTCCCTGCTCTGTCTCTCTATTAATTTGGGCGTTCAGGACTGAAAAGCTCTAAAGACCCCTGCTATAGACAGTTACTTTTATCTTAGTAAAGGGACATAGTGAGTTAAAATGAGACTCTGTTGAGTATTCAGGACTTCTTACCTGCACAGTGCCACCTTTGAGAATTGAGATCTTCGTCATGAACACATGTACATGAACCGCCTTGAGGTAGGAGATGGTGGGTCTGTTATGTCGGTTTTCATTGTCTGCATGGACCTCAAAGTATGGCAGGCTTGTGTGATTGCAGGGTGCAGACATCAGGTAGCTGCAGTTGCCCATGAAGTTGTATTTGCGTTTGTCAAAGGTTGTGTAGTGAGGATCTCCAGATGCTATGCATGTTGATGAATCTAAGAGGAAGAGAATCAATAAACTGTTCATCTGAAGCTTCTTTTGAGTGATTTATATAACAAACCATTTGTTCTAACTGTGCCTTAGAATGACTTATGTCATAAAGAGCTAAACAGTTGCTGAAAATTCTCAAATCTGAGGCTCAAGAAGACATCATTACCTTTAGGATAGCAGCTAGAAACACCATTGACCTCTCGACACTCTTCGGTGGGATCACAGGAGTTATCAACGCAGTCAAAAGTGTAGTTCCCCAGACAGCGGCAAAGCTTTGAACATCCATCTCCTGATACTATCTCACCAGGCTGAAATAAGATAGAACAGGAAATCAGTAAAAGGACTCACCTTAAAGATTCCAGCACTAACTTGCTGTTCATTGACATATGTCTATTCCTTTTCAAAATAATTGTAACATAAAATGCCACCTTACCTCATAATAGTTATTGCCATCATCATAACAGCCACATTTATCTAGTGGAACACAGAGCTTTCCCTTGAAGACATATCCAGGTTTACAGAAGCAACCACTGACGCAGGGTCCAGAGCAGTTGGTGGAAGGTTCCTGACACGATGGGATACAGGATGGACCACAGTGGATGTACTCTGCATTCGGTGGACATACTTCTGTTCACAGGATAAAGAAAATAGAAGCTGAAGACATTTGGAAATGGGTTGTAAAAATGGAAATGTTTTTGAATAGTTGTTGGTTTAATGATGGTTGGTAGTATTCTCATTACATCCAGTCCAAAGACCAGTTTTTCGTAGTTTTTTTCTCAAATACATTCTCAATCTTTTCTTACATGGACGGCTAACAATGTTTTCCAGCGTTATATTTTAAGCCAGGCTCACACCACCTACGGTGTGGTTTGCAGACCTGACCCAGTGCGGACCTACTGCAAAGAGCCACTCATGCGCCACTGCGGACAATCCGGCCCAACTATGCCTCTGCCTGTGGATGCAATGCTTTTAAGACAAAAGTTGAACTGGGTTCAGACACACTCTGGGATTTCTTGACAAGATTTATTATCTGTATGCATCAATATCCTTTGCCATTCTCAAGCAGCCCCTGTCATTCCTCGTGTTTTGGTTTTGCCATTTTGTTTACCCCAGGGAAGGTAGCTTAAGATGGTGACCTGTTTTTAATTCTGAAATTAAGATTAATCTTTCCTTTCCAGAGCCTAAACTATCGGGATTTCATGGGTGAAATAGGAAAAGTCAAACTTTCTTTTTCCTGAATCGTTCTGCTACGCCTGTAACTCTATCCACACCGTGCCATTGATAATGTGAGTGTGCACATTGATTTCAGATTCTTGAGGCATCTCCACTGCAGCCACAAAATAGTCAATGCAAGGCAAGGATTACATTAAAAGTTTGTCAGCACTTAGAGGGCGTAAACTTACTAGGATAGCAGCCTAATTCTCCATCCTGGACTTTGCAGTCTTGCGTTGGAGGACACTCAGAGGCTTCACATGTGACAAAGGGTGAATTGCACCTACATTTCAGCTTACAGTCCTCCAAATAAAACTCCTCTCCAGGCTGAAAAGAACAAAAGATCCTTTAGAATCTAAGACAATAGGATTGTTTTAGCCAGTTTTTCTTTGAACCTTTGTTATTCAGTAGGAATGATCTCTACTTGCAAAACCTACAGAGCGCATTAATGCAAATTCATCAACTGATCAGTCAAGCAATTAATTAAAACTTGATCTTCAGGTTAAAAGTTAAACATTTATCTTTGGATATGGCTCTGAATAAAACGTAGTCATCAAACATAAGCAAGGTATACTCCAATGGATTGCCAGTTGGGCCATTCATGCCCAGCTCTCTGTACCTCGTAATACTGGCCATTGCTGTGAGTGCAGCCACAGGTATTCTTCGGGACACATTTGCCAGCACTTAGGACGTAACCAGGATCGCAAACACACCCCTCAGAGCATGGTCCACCACAGGAGGGAGGTTTTCCAGAGCAGGTCTCTTGACAGGGGTCAGCACAGGGCTCAAAATGGCTGTTGGTGGTGCAGTTCAGTGCTAGATATAACAAAACAGGTAAGAGTCAATTATACAACCCAGATAGAGGCAGACATGCATTAGACATCTTATATTAACCATCAGGGTACTTTCTAGACTAGTACCAGTATTTAGATGTTATAATCATCTCTAAGCGAGTATTATAAACCTTTAAAAAGTCTCTAACAGTAAAAATCAGTTACGAGAGGCTTTGGTAAAGTCGATTTTGTATGAAGGATTTTTTTAAAATCACTCATTTAACTCCATCAATCCATACTCTTTTGCTTATCCAGTGTCGAGCCACCTCAGCTCATCTGGCTCCTCTTGGCATGGAGGAGCAGCGGTCCTTCCCAGATGACTAAGCTCCTCACCTTATCTCTAAGGGAGAGCCCCTCTCTTGACCGAGTGTCCAAGACATTTGGCCCCGGATCAGATAAAATAACAACAAAGTCGATCATTAAACTATGGCTAGGGTGTCCTTGTGCCAAGTGCATGAATGGACACCGTTATGCTTGAACATGGTGTTCGTTATGGACAATCCATGAAGAGCAAAGAAGTCCAACAACAAACCACCACTCGAGTTCAGATTGGGCCATTCCTTCCAACCATGCCTTTCCAAGGCTCAATGTTATTGCCAACATGGGCAGACTCAAAAAAGGGTGGGTAATATGAACTGCTGCTTAGCGCATAAGCACAAACTACAGTCAGAACCTGTCCCCCCACACGTATGCGGAGGGCGGCCACCCTCTCTTCACTGGGGTGAACCCCGATGGCACCAAGATGAGGGGCAGCCCACTCCTGCTTGGCGCCTCCCAACTCCATAGTGCAAGAATGTCCAGCCGCTCTCAGGAAGACTGGTTCCAGAGCCAGAGCATTGCATTGAGGTAAGTCAGACTATCTTTACCTGGAACCTCTCAACTTCGCACACTAGCTCAGACTCCTTCCTCAGCACAGAGGTGACATTCCATGTCCAAGGAGTATGCTTCTTCAGCCGAGGATCAGAATGGCAAGGTCCACACCCTGTTATGGTTCTTCCCATTTGTTATGACTCTGAGTTTTCAGTTTTCTGTTATCAGCTGTTCTGTTTTGTTCTTTGATTTATTTTCTATTATATTCGAGCATTCTTTAGTTACTCTCTGTTGCCCCCTTGTGGTTGTTTTCTTTCCCCTTGGATTCCTTCTTGCCAGTTCCACCCACATCTGCTCCTTAATCAGCTCGTCAGTCTATCCTTTGTTCTGTTCCCCTTAAATATTTCACCTCTGCAGTCACTCAGTGCTGGTTCCTTGTCGTTGCTGTAGTTGTCTTCTCAGCTCGTCTCTCCCTGGCTCCTCATGCTTGTTTTCCCCTGATGTCTAAATGTTTTTTGATTTGTTTAACATTTTAATTGGATTGAATCACATTGAATTTCTGGATTGCTGCCTCTGTTACCTGTGTTCTTCAATTAAATCTGTCAAAACTCATCTCTGCTTCACTCGTCTCTGCCTCTGGGTCCTCAAGCAACGTCACCACTCATTGTTGACACACCCTTGATTGCAACCTATTACACAATGCATCCGATCCATTTAGCCTCTCTGACAGGTGGTGAGTCCATTGGAAAGGAGACCCATGTTTCCTGTTTTGGGCTGTTCCCGACCAGGCACCCTGAGTAAAAGCCTGGCCACCAGGCACTAGGCAGCCAGCCCTACCTTCGGGCCTGGCTCCAGGGTGGGGCCCTGGTGACCCACATCAAGGAGATGGAACACTACATCCATTTGTTGTACTCATCATAAGGGGACTTTGGGCTGCTCTTTCTCTGAGCCCTCACCTAAGACCTGTCTGCCTTGGGTGACCCTACTAGATGCATAAAGCCCCTGACATCATAACTCCTAGGGCCATTGGGAAACTCAAACTCATCCACCACGAAAAGGTGGCAGCCTAGGGAAGGGGGCTGCCACCTTTCCTGGGCATTTAACTCACTATTATAAACCATAACAGCCTTCATTTTAACTTTCATCTCATTGCAAAAAGCCAATACTCACGGCAGAAAGTATTATTTCTCCAGGGTCTGATGTTAACCCCACGGTCCTGGCACTCATTGACGTAGGCCTCAATAGCTTCACACAGAATGGGTCTGGCTCCACCCAGTTCACATAGGTCAAACAAACAGTCCCTGAAGTAATTCTGAAAACATAGAATTTATTTTCTTAGTTACTACGCTGAATGGTGTCTCTGATCTAACGTCAAAGTCTCTCCCAGAAAGCAGAAACAACCAATCAGTGTTTACTAGTCACTTCTGCTTAAAAATGAAGATTTCCTAATTCGACACATGATATGGTTTTACATGGGTTTTATAAGCAGTGATTTTTACTTTGTATTTATAAATAAATGAAAAGCTGTTAGACAGATAAAAAGCTCCTACTAGTCACCACCTACATTTGGGCTGACTTTAGGGTGGCAGGCAGCGAAGGGACCGTCTTTGTCCAGCAGGATACCACAGTATCCAGAACTCTCATAAAGCACTTCCTCTTCTATAGTACATCCAGGAATGGTATTGTTAGGTTTCTTATTGCACCTGTCAACACAAGTCAGGTTCATTGTTTAGCATTCTTATGCCAATAGAAGATGCTAAATCAAGTAACTTGTACTGAATCAAAATGAACAGAATTAATTGGATAACAAAACTGTTGTTTGATTACAAAAGAAAAACCTTAAACAACTGCTGCACCAGAGGAAATTTTCTCTGTATTGTTTTGAAAATGATGCATGGAGGGAAAATCATTTAGGATAGAAAATAATGAGGAAATTAACTTGAAGAAATACATTTTCTCTTGGTTTTCCTGGATTGTTGCATTCGTTCAATACTCACTCTGGATCAGTGTTCCAGCTGTGGCCAAAATCATTTGCATTGCTTGCCAAGGCTCCATCTGGTTTCCGGAAGTCATCTTTGGTATTTCCGTTATAATCTCCACACAGTCCACACAGTATATCCTCATAGCTGCAGTTAACAGAAAATATTCACTTAAACATCATAAAGAAGTGTAAACCAGTGAAAGAATTCACTCAGAGATCTTTGCTCTTTTGACTACATGAATTTGAGAGTTTAACCATAAAGGGTCAACAGTTAATTTAGTGGAGGAACACAAATCAATATCACGTAAAGCCGTCACTCACTCCTTGATCACTTTAATGTCCATGAAGTGGTTTCCATCGTAGCGAACAGTCAAGCCAAAGTTTGTGGACACAGTATAATGTTTTCCTGACTTGAAAACGGAGACGCCAGGGGCTGGACTCACTGGAAGGTTAACATTGGTCCCATTCACCTATATGGAAAAAGCAGGTGTGGAAAAAATGAATCAAGATAATTTCAAACAAAAATATTGTTAATAAATCACCACTTCTCCAATTTCTTAAAAACGAGGTTTAAAACTTGGAGAAAAAAATCTCTCTAGTATTTGTCAGACTCCTTGAAGGCCAATGTCCTGCACTTTTTGAAAATGTCTCTGCTGTCAAACACTGAATCAAATAATAAGGTTCTTGGCATGACTATTGAGAACTTTGCTTCATCGAAGGAGGTAATCAAGCAACTTGATATAGCTGTGTTGGACCTAAGCAATATCTAAGAATTGCAGAATACCTTAAAGGGTATTTTAGTTACAGTGCTGTAGTTACAGGTTCCTCCTGGTTAGAAACCATTTTGATCCTTAGAACTTATCTTCTATGGAAACCAGCTAAGGTTATAAGCTAGCCAGTGTTTCGGGGCTGTCTCAAAGCTAACATCCTTTTGGAACGACCCGTTGTTCACATTCTATGGGCAGTATGCTGACAGTATGCAGTCCCTGTCTGTGAGTGCAGACCTTCATAGGGGGGTACTCAAGGCCACTTCTGTGAGTTACCACCAGTAGTTCTGGATGAAACCACCCTTTTTTTTCTCTTGGTTATAATTACCACTATAGAAGCAGTAACAAACGTTTCTGGCAAAAGATACAGGCTTCATGGTTCCCTCTTCGGAAATAAACAATATTGGTATAGCCATTACTTTGTTATTCCAAAGAAGGGGGTTAGGCTTTATCTCATCATCAACATAATTTTACCTTTTTAAAACAAGATGGCAAATGGTCTGTACTTATATAGCAATTTTTAAAAGTCAAAGACTTGACCAAAGTGTTTTGCACTACATTAAGTCATTCACCCATTCACACACAGACATGGTGGCAAGCTAGAGAAGCAGCCATTCAAAATGGCCCTTCCCAGTCAAAAGCCTGTCGAATGTCAGCAAAATCCCCTCCAACTTTCAGCCACTGGCCTTCTCATGGGGATGCATATTTTTTACTCTGACTCCAGCCTTTCCCTGAATTACAGGGTCTGACCAGGAGATGATGTTTCTCTTTACATCTTAATGTTCACAAATCCTGAGAGAAAGAATATTTTAGTTGTTTAAAAAGGAATTGTAGGGGACTAGCCAAGGGCCCATCTAGGAAAGTGAGGACATTTTTAATGGCTACTACTGTATATTGTAGCCACGGCTGCACATGGGCTCACTGACAGAGACGAGGCTGCTGTAGACAGACACCACTGGGCCCTCTGACAACCATCAATAGGCAATATGGGGGATGTGTTTTTCCCACATTTGAACTGGGGTTTGAAGCCATGACCCTTTGATTGCTGGGCAAACTCCTGAATCAGATGCCACTGTCGCCCAACTACCTTTACATGTACAAAATCAGGATAGTGATACTGAGACAGTTTCTTAATCTCTGCAGTTTCTGACAGCCCAGGCAATTGATATGCAAAGATTGATCCCACCGACTTTTTTTTAAATCGAGCATTACATCCAGACCACAGGCAGTTTCTGGAATTTGCTTTCAAGGGCAGAAACTCCTAATGACCACATACTGCTGTTCTTTAAAGGACTCTACTAGAAGGTGCTTGCTTTGTCTCTTCATCAATTTGAAGGTCCAGGATTTAAAAAGACGTCAGACTTAAACCATTATCTTGGCTTTGGTAAAGGGGTGAAGTAAGTTGCAATGAGTTTTTGACAAGTGTTATTTTCTCCAACACTTCATACCTGCACTGTGCCACCTTTGAGAATTGAGATCTTCGTCATGAACACATGTACATGAACAGCCTTGAGGTAGGAGATGGTGGGTGTGTTATGTCGGTTTTCATTGTCTGCATGGACCTCAAAGTATGGCAGGCTTGTATGATTGCAGGGTGCAGACATCAGGTAGCTGCAGTTGCCCATGAAGTTGTATTTGCGTTTGTCAAAGGTTGTGTAGTGAGGATCTCCAGATGCTATGCATGTTGATGAACCTAAGAGGAAGAACAATGACAAACTACATATCTAAAGATTCTTAAAAATGCTTTATCTAACAAACAAACTGTTACATATGTAGAAGATCATGAAAATGACTGATATTATAAAGGGCCAAATCGATATCAAAATCCCTAAATCTGAGACATTACCTTTAGGATAACAACCAGAAACACCATTGACCTCTCGACACTCTTCGGTGGGATCACAGGAATTATCAACGCATTCAAAAGTGTAGTTCCCCAAACAGCGGCAATGCTTTGTACATCCATCTCCTGATACTGTCTCACCAGGCTGAAATAAGATAAAATAAAGGATTATTAACTGGATATGCCTTAAAGACTGCAGTACTAGCTTGCTAATGTATTCTCATAAAATGCCACCTGACCTCATAATAGTTATTGCCATCATCCAAACAGCCACATTGATCTAGAGGCACACACCGCCGCCCCTTGAAGACATATCCAGGTTTACAGAAGCAACCACTGATGCAGGACCCAGAGCAGTTGGTGGAAGGTTCCTGACATGTAGGGATGCAAGCTGGACCACATTCAATATAATCCGCATCTGGTGGACAGGGTTCTGTTCAGTGAATACAAAAGAGAATGACAAAGAGTGTTATTGGATCGCATATGTGTTAAATAGATTATGTTTAAAAAAAAAACTTGAAATAGTTAAAAATGCATTTTACTTGGTTTAGGGGTAGTTGGTCCAGGTGTTGGCGGTCTAGGTGTACTTGGCCCTTGGGTTGGTGGTTTAGGTGTACTTGGCCCTGCAGTAGGTGGTCTAGGTGTACTTGGCCCTGGGGTTGGTGGTTTAGGTGTACTTGGCCCTCCAGTAGGTGGTCTAGGTGTACTTGGCCCTGGGGTTGGTGGTTTAGGTGTACTTGGTCCAGGGGTCGGTGGCTTAGGTGTACTTGGCCCTGGAGTTGGTGGTTTAGGTGTAGTTGGTCCTGCGGTAGGTGGTCTAGGTGTACTTGGCCCTGGAGTTGGTGGTTTAGGTGTAGTTGGCCCTGCAGTAGGTGGTCTAGGTGTACTTGGTCCAGGGGTTGGTGGTTTAGGTGTAGTTGGCCCTCCGGTAGGTGGTCTAGGTGTACTTGGTCCAGGGGTTGGTGGTTTAGGTGTAGTTGGCCCTGCGGTTGGTGGTTTAGGTGTAGTTGGCCCTGCAGTAGGTGGTCTAGGTGTACTTGGTCCAGGGGTTGGTGGTTTAGGTGTAGTTGGCCCTGCGGTTGGTGGTTTAGGTGTAGTTGGCCCTGCAGTAGGTGGTCTAGGTGTACTGGGCCCTGGGGTTGGTGGTTTAGGTGTTGTTGGCCCTCCAGTAGGTGGTCTAGGTGTACTGGGCCCTGGGGTTGGTGGTTTAGGTGTAGTTGGCCCTCCAGTAGGTGGTCTAGGAGTACTTGGTCCAGGGGTTGGTGGTTTAGGTGTGGTTGGCCCTGCAGTTGGTGGCTTAGGTGTGGTTGGCCCTCCAGTTGGTGGCTTAGGTGTAGTTGGTGTAGGAGAAGAAGGTTTTGGTGTTGTTGACTCAGCTATAGGGAAGGAGAAAAAAAACAACAAAACCATAAGTTGTTGAAAAAATAATTGCTATGCTTAGTTTGTCTCCTGGTGGGTAAAGATGTAGTCATGTCTCCATCTGACCAGTTTCTTACCGGTGCAGGTCTTGATACAGACGGCATCAACAGCAATATCTGTCTCCATGGTTTCACCAAAGGTTCCGACAATTGCAAACTGAAAAGAAATTGAAATAAATGTTTCTGACATAACTTAGACTTTGAAAAACACTCCCAACGGGTTTCTCATCCATATATATATGTAATCTACATGAAATTTACAGTTTGGTGCTATTGACAATAACATGTGAGGCGCAATGCCATTTCATAGGACATTTAGGTAAGGTTTGGAATGGAGGGACAAAAACCACATAAGTACCAGTTAGTGATCAAACTTTTTAAAACTCGCAGACTGATTTAAACAACTGTTAATACATATTTGTAAACATTAATCATATCAGTGCCATGATTTTACCTGAGTTTCAGCGGTTCCAATGGCGCGGACCTCTGCAGGCTTCCAGCCCATACCCTGGTTTCCTTTAACACTGAAGAAAGAAGGTCCAAGGCCTCCACCTGCTAATGTCAAATATAAACAAAAACTCAAACAAAGGTTATTATGGTAAAAATGTGCAGTAATTTTTATGCCATAACATAAATCCAACCCCTTACCTGTTATGGTGTGGACACTGATCTCCATTTTGGTGCTGGTACCATACAGGTAGTAATAAAAGCTGAGTTCCAAACATCCTGAGGGGGATGGAATCGCAGGACTTCTGATTTGAGAGCTTTCTCCTTCCACAGCTTCGGAAGAATCCATCAGCATGTAACTTCCAACTATGTACATAAGTACAAACAAGTGGTCAAAATTTACAGCCATTTTTGGGGAACTTTCACATTCAGTTTACATCGTAAAGTCATCTATATTTTCAGACTAATCAACACTAATAATATTCTTAGTATGAAGGGTTTATCAGGGTTTCATAAATGCTCAACTCTTGGCCCTCTATGAGCAGTAGCCTAAACCACAGTTTTACTTACACCCAGGTTTAGAGAAGTCATCATCAGGTCCAGTGCCGTCTGTGTCTGTTTGTCCACTCCACTGATCAAAACCAAATAGCTCAGGATTTTCGGTGTGGACTGTCCACCCACACAGTTCACCAATGGTGTCAAAATCACAGCTAGATTCACAAGCTGTAAAGAAAACCAATAGAAATTAGAAACAGAGTAGTGCCTGTCGTGGAATAATCCTCTGCCTTTTCCTTTTCATGGTAAGGGATACTGCTTATGTCTTGTTGGTTGTTTATCCTCATTTTAAATACATTAGATACAAAATGATTTAAGACTGCAAATATTTGAGTCCACACATGCAAGTAAAGTGAAAGTGGTAGGAAGTTGTCAGATCAATGTGAACTCATAGGATGACGTTTTAGCAATGGGTTTGCAAAAATGAAACATGAACAGAATGTCGTGCACAGCTCTTATGGTCTGTCAACATTGCTCAAAAACTGTAACTTAGCCAAATGCGTCTGATTCGCTGCTGGTAAATCATAATCTATCGAGGCTCACTGGAAACATAAATAAACAAAGTGTAAATGTGCAGCAAGAGAAAACTGCCAGAGCTCATTCTTCTTGCTGTCTGTCCTGTTTCGCACTCTCTGGAATGGGTGACAATAGTGGAATCAACTTTTGGCTCTCAAAATGGTATCAGTGCCCTATTTGTTGGTACTCGCCGATACCAATACCACCATTTTAATGCTGGATCGGGGCCCCGCTTCGATACTGGTATCGGTGCAACACTAGTATTTATCCCAGAGGAAAACGTAATTATATAGCTGCCTTAAAGGCGTACTTGTAGAAACTAAACTTTAAATTAAATGTCACACTTTTCTAAGGTAACTAGAGTTTTACAGTGTGAATACCAGCAATGGTTATGAATAAGGGTATGAATAAAGGTGTTGGGCCAATTAGTGTCGCGATATTATAAAGAATTGAGGTAAATAGTGTTTTAATAAAGGTAGAAATATGAATGTGTGTGTCTGAACTCACCAGGACATTCCCCCTCAGTGATGACAATGTTGTCCAATGCTGAGTCACAGGATGCAGAGAAACCTCTTTGAGCCTCAAACACAATCTATGCAGAGAAAATAATAAACATCTCAATGAATGACTTAAAGAATTAGGATTGCTCGCCTTACATAAACTAAACTTCAGGTGCAAACTCCTCCACTTAGCAGGATAATAGTTCTTTGAAATACCTTCATATATTTCGGAGATTTCTAGAGTGCAATTGAAAGTACAGTTAGAGTCCAGATCAGGTTTTTAGGGTGGTCATAAAATAAAATCAGGAAATATTTTATGAATAAAATAAGATATATACACAGATAACTACATATATAAAATAAGATACATAAAGTTTCTTAAATGCGTTTATCAAAGCAACATTGCATCACTTTTAGCTACTAGCTTTAGCGCCCCTGAAGGCCACTAGCAGCATTGCAATGTCGCCATATTTCCTCTGTGTTTGGGAATCTGATAGCAGATCAATTTGGACCTGCGGACCTTTCAGACAGGACATATTTTCCCTCTGCACCTGCTGCTTGGGCAACTGATTGCTTGTATTCAGCAGTAAAGTGCTAGCATTAGCTTAGTGCTAGCTTAGAAGAATAATAGGCTGTAGCTGCACAACAGTTCCAGAGAGTTCGAAGCGATTGGGCTTGTAAAAGAGCCCGATTTCCATAGCAAACGCAATCACAAACTTTGGTCATCTTATTCTTTAGGGGAATTCAGACACACTATAAACTTTTTGTTCATTTTGCTTCCTGGTGTGTCTGGCTCTCGGTCGCCCAGTTTCTATTGGTCTTACATGCATTGGTTACTGCATGGTTAAAGTTAAACTGTGTTGAACTTTGACCGGGTTGGTGCACAAGCTCGCCACAGCACCGCGCTGCACGTGTGCTTTGCTTGCTGTGATAAACTGCCCTCGTGTGGCACAAGCCAGTGAAAAAAGATGGGTTTCAGAGCATGCTCACATCCCATCTGAAAGGACCAGTAGAGTTCCTGGTAAAGACGAGGCCGCATTCATCTCACTAGATTAAATCGTAGAGAAAAACGACAACAACATAATGGTCTTGTCTTTATCAGACTGTTACTAAGGGACCCAGACTCTTCAAGAGTTCTGACTCTTGAAGGAGGCGGTCGCATTTCCCAGCTGTTCTGCAACTCCCTGCCCTGTCCCTGCTTTGCTGTGTCTTGTCTTTTCTGAGCCCTCTCTTTTCTTATCACCCGAATTCAAACCACCGATCGGGTCAGCTGGACTCTCAATGCAATTGATCACATTTTCTCAACAGGGGGACAGGGAAAAGGGTCCTACCGTGACATACTTCATGGGATACACCATGGATTCTTGGAAGGCTTGGAGGATGGTGTATTTTATAATATGGTCAGTGGAGGACATCGAAGATGTATGGTTTTTCTGATTTATGATACTCTGATTTCTCCTGTTTGGATTTGGAGGATACCTGATGTATCTACATTTACAGAGGATGTCGGCAGCAATTTGGGCCGGAGTGTGAGCTGAGCCGTATGCTGGGTGCGATTGAACGCATGCTAGCTGTGGTGGTTAAACTCAAAGGTAAGATGGGATGATATCTTGGATGTGCATGCTTGCTTCAAGGTGGAAAAACCCAACAAATTTGGAACATTGGATTTGCCACGTAGAGCCAGCAATAAAAGACTCAATGCTGACGGAAAAATCCTGCAGCCCACTCTTCAAACAGTAAGTGTTATTTTGGATTCGGCCTCCCCCTTATGAAAATCTCCCCTGGATGTTATGGTGGAAAGGCCCAGAAGAACTGCTACCACCCAGCCCCCTCTGGTTTTTTCCCCCTCTCCCTCCCCAATGTGGCTCCTTTCTTTCCACAGGGATAAAGGCAGCGCTATAGGGAACCGCCTACGGGTTGGGGCCCTTGTAGGCCATAAGAACGCCTAAAGGCAGCGTTCTGCGTCACGCATGGCCTCAGTAAATTGTTCCCTGTCAGCCTCCCCACCCTAATGTATGTGATTATTTTGTTATTTTGTTATGTTATTTATTTGTTATTTTGTTTTGTTTTGTTTTTTTTAGTCTGCACCAACAACACCAAGTCAAATTCCTTGTAAGTGCAAACATACTTGGCAATAAACTTGATTCTGATTCTGATGAACAGTTTGTAATAAAACCGAAATCTTGATTACAATGTAAATTGTAGTTGACATTAAAGAAACTGATTGATTGATTGATTGATTGATTGATTGATTGATTGATTGATTGATTGATTGATTGATTGATTGATTGATACCAGGTACCAGATCTGGTAGCGCTGTGGCTAGCTGTGCTCAGTAGCTAACAGTTTTGCCTCTTTGTGCTCGGTCTGCTAGCCAAAATAAGCTACTCTACTTTGAACTTTGTGTCAACCATTAGGCTAATAATATGTTGAGACTCTAGAAGAGATTTGATCCTGAAGAAACAGGTGCAATCCAGTTTGTCCAAGTGGAATTGCCGTATAATGATGTCATAAGAAGGGGCGGGGCCCCAAAAAAATCTGGTACCTAAACTGACCCTCTTAGGTGAGTTTTTGAGAAGAGCATCGATACGCAACAATTGTTGAATACTGACCTGAAAAATCATCTAGTCGATGTCAGATGAAGCTAATATTGCCTCGAAAGTGATGCAGAGTTGCTTTTATTACACTTTTAAATGTTTTTCCCGTTAAAAAATGATCTCCAGCAGTTTGGAAACACTCACGTTGAGACTCTGACCGGCTGCTTTGGGCACGGTGATAGAACCTGCCAACCAGGACGGACTCTGAAATCCATCCCTCCTCCAGACTTCCACTTCTTCGCCGCCTGCTGGATTTGACAGAACCCTTAAGAAATTGTTGCTTTCGATCCCATACATGTAGTACCGGAACTGAACGCAGATCTTAGATGCCGATGAGGTGATCAAGGGGCTCAGCAGACGAGCTTTTTGTCCATTGGAGACGTTGTCGCATTCATGGTATATATAGAATCCCTCTGCAGACAGAGACACACAAAGACTCAGAATTCTTTGGACTTAATGCTTTGGGCTGTTAGACGCGTCAGAACCAAAACAGCTGGTAAACTGACTTCCATCTGGGTAGTCTCCGCTGGGGCCGGTGCCAGGAGTCGGAGTTGGACCTTTATGTCGGGTCCAGTCGCTGTTATCCGCCGTGTCCTGGGTGAAGCTGCAGAATGGCTGACTGTCATGATTAAAGTCGCAGGAGGTGATCACGGCTGTTGGACAGACAGACGACAGAGATACAGACGTGAAGAATTTACATTTCATTAAAAACCTGAATAATTTGTCTTCCAGAAATGCCATTACTGCAACCCATCCCTGTCTGACTTCATCATTCTCTAACAACAAACCGGGTTGGTGCAAAAGATTAAAATACATCATTGGTGTTTGTATTGAAATAAGTACCGCAAATAAAGTCTGAATTTTGTTTTAGTAATTAATCTTTTTTTTCCCCATTCTTCCATCTTAGGGAAACACAGAAACACTCAAAGCAGTGATGTTCACACCTAAAATACTGCAAAAAATCAACAAATTAGTCAAAATATCTCAGACTAAGTGTTTTTACCCTTAAATAAGATGATTGATCAATGAAATTAACATTTAAACCCTGAAAATAAGATGTTTTTATCTTATCTTAAATGTAAATTGAGCAGCTGTATACAAATATGTTTTTATCTTGATCTTTATAATAATATTATATTTCCGTTTTTTTCTACAAGCATTTAGATCTTTCTGAATAATTTTCCATGTAATCAAAGCCTGCTTCACATTGAACCCGACTATGAGTCAATTTAACATCTACTTGGAAACGACATGACCTCAAAGTTCAACATTCACAAAATTAAAAACCTGAATCAGCGCGACAAATAATTGACTCGTACACTGGAAAAAATCTGAATCTAGATCAGTAATTTTTTCTTAAAATAGGTGCATTTGTTCTTGGATTGAGGAAGTAAAAGAGACATTTTCCCACTGGAACAAGATAATTTAGGTTTAAAATAAGAAAAAAAAATGGAATTGTCTTATTTCAACCAAATATTATGTAATTATCTTATTTTAAATACTATATTTGATATATATTTAATATATAATATTGAAAATACATTGGCAAATTGTCTCATTTACCTATTAAAATTAAGGGTAAATACAATTAATTTAAGTCATTTTTAGTTATTTCTAGATTGTTTTTCCAGTGTTCAGTCTGATCCAAATGGCTCCAAAATAACATCTCATAATGTCAATACATTATAAGTTGTTTTGTTTGGTTGCTTTGGGCGTTCTAGGCGAGAAGGCAAGGTGAAAAAGTTGTTAGAGATGCCCAAGATAAGGAGCAGTAAATAGATAAAGGCGAGAACATTTGGTCACATGCGGCAACATGTGGCCATTTATCAGCAGAGGGGATTGCTTTAAGAGGTGGGAATACTTAAACAGAGTATAGAAAAATCCAAACCAACATACCAGCATCTCTCTGGTTTCCCTTCAGGCTGTAAAAGAAAGAAAAAACATAATTACATTGCTTCTCATTTGGATTTACTTCTGGAATGCTTCTCAGATAAACTTGAATTAAGACACTTGGAAAAAAATAATAAAAAACATACAAAACTTTCATGCAGAAAAAATAAACTAGCTAAATAAATAAACTTGCTGATTACTAATAAGGTCAAACCCTAAAGGTTAGACCACCTTATAAATATCCACTATAACTACAAAATCAACCCTACAATGGAAAAAACGACCTATAAATAAGTACAAATTTCTTAATTTGAGTAGCTAAATGAGAGTTTGCCAATATAATGAGTATTTTTACTCTTGAAATAAAATAATTCCATAATATGTACTTTATATAAGACAATGCAGTTGGGTTTTCTTATTTTAAAGCAAAATGTCTCTTTTATCTCCTCAATCCAAGATCAAATACACTTATTTTAAGAAAAAATTATTTTTTTTCCAGTGCAGATTAAAACCCTTAAAAACAAATATATATTAAAAAAACTAAAATCTTAAAAGTTGGATGTAGAAAAAAATAAATAAACTGGTTGATTATTGATAAGGTCAACCCCTAAAAGTAATACTGCATTATAAATATCCACTATAACTATAAATTAAACTCTACTGAACATTAAATTAAATACTGGCAAAATAAAAAATGACTGACATTTAATAACCTTCACACTGTAAAAAAAAATCAAAATCTAGATGAGTCATTTTTTCTTAAAATAAGTGCATTAGTTCTTGGATTGAGGAGGAAAAACAAGAAAACTTACACTTAAAATAAAAAAAAAAACACAATTGCATTGTCTTATTTCAAGTTATTATCTAATTATCTTATTTTAAAATCCTCATTCCATCTGCAAACGATCTCATTAACCTACTCAAATTAAGGGTAAATACAGTTAATTTAATTATGTTTTTTTCAGTGCATCCTAATAATAAATGCAGTATATTATTCTAAATAAAGTTGAGATGTTTTGTGGGGTAACCAACCTCTGCCGTCCTGCTGCTGCTCTGCATTCACACACCAATAGGAGGAAAATCACATAATTGAATCTTTCCATGATGACCAGCATGAGAAGGCAGAGAGGCCGATGGGCCGCTATATATAGAGGCGGAGGATGACCAACCCGACATGTGGAGCTGAGAAGAACTGGGTGGTGCAGCAGGTGAAAAAAAAAAAAAAAAACTGTACAGTATGATGTCGCAAAAATGTGTAAATAAGTAACTGGTGGCGATAGGGACAGGGTGTGTCCCCTTTGGGTGGATATTTGTTGGTGGGAGTGAGTGTATTTGGTTGATGACCTCGCAGAATGTTCACGAGCAGGGTGGGGAAACCCATCAGGTGTCCTTCTAAAGCAGAATGAGCACTGTAAAACCTCTTATTGTGTAATAAAAGCAATACTTTGATCCCAGGAACACCTTTTTCCATTCTGAAATCAAAATAAATAAATAAAAACGATTTCCTTATTTATCAGTTCCTCCTCTTCTAATTGCAAACTAACAGACCTCAGCTCATGCTTTTGCTCACAAATATTAAATACTCTCCAGATTAAAAATGATTTCTTAAGCTATATATTGTTCTAGATTTGATTCAGTTCAGTGTGTTTTTATTCTAAATTCAGGTAATCTCAGGAAGCTTTACAGGAACGATCCAATCAGATCATAAAATGCAGGGAAACCCAGCTGATAGCATCCAGCACCTGACTTTGCTCGATACACTTCTCCTTGTAGAGACAGTAGACATTCTGACTACTGTGTCGTTGACTCTACAGCTATCTGTCACTATGAGCATGCATGCGGCGACAGTGGAGAGGAAAACTGAAGTTTAACAGTACAGGGCTGTCACTAACTAATTCATGCTGGTGTTCCGTCAGATGAGTGTGAAGAGAAAATTGTGTGTTCAACTTACACTCACCGGCCACTTTATTAGGTACACCTGTCCAACTGCTCGTTAACACTTAATTTCTAAGCAGCCAATCACATGGCGGCAACTCAGTCCATTTAGGCATGTAGACATGGCCAAGACAATCTCCTGCAGTTCAAAGCGAGCATCAGTATGGGGAAGAAAGGTGATTTGAGTGACTTTGAACGTGGCATGATTGTTGGTGCCAGAAGGGCTGGTCTGAGTATTTCAGAAACTGCTGATCTACTGGGATTTTCACGCACAACCATCTCTAGGGTTTACAGAGAATGGTCCGAAAAAGAAAAAACATCCAGTGAGCGGCAGTTCTGTGGGCGGAAATGCCTTGTTGATGCCAGAGGTCAGAGGAGAATGGCCAGACTGGTTGGAGCTGATAGAAGGGCAACAGTGACTCAAATAACCACCCGTTACAACCAAGGTGGGCAGAAGAGCATCTCTGAACGCACAGTACGTCCAACTTTGAGGCAGATGGGCTACAGCAGCAGAAGACCACACCGGGTGCCACTCCTTTCAGCTAAGAACAGGAAACTGAGGCTACAATTTGCACAAGCTCATGGAAATTGGACAATAGAAGATTGGAAAAACGTTGCCTGGTCTGATGAGTCTCGATTTCTGCTGCGACATTCGGATGGTAGGGGCAGAATTTGGCGTCTACAACATGAAAGCATGGATCCATCCTGCCTTGTATCAACGGTTCAGGCTGGTGGTGGTGGTGTCATGGTGTGGGGAATATTTTCTTGGCACTCTTTGGGCCCCTTGGTACCAATTGAGCATCGTTGCAACGCCACAGCCTACCTGAGTATTGTTGCTGACCATGTCCATCCCTTTATGACCACAATGTACCCAACTTCTGATGGCTACTTTCAGCAGGATAATGCGCCATGTCATAAAGCTGGAATCATCTCAGACTGGTTTCTTGAACATGACAATGAGTTCACTGTACTCAAATGGCCTCCACAGTCACCAGATCTCAATCCAATAGAGCATCTTTGGGATGTGGTGGAACGGGAGATTCGCATCATGGATGTGCAGCCGACAAATCTGCGGCAACTGTGTGATGCCATCATGTCAATATGGACCAAACTCCCTGAGGAATGCTTCCAGCACCTTGTTGAATCTATGCCACCAAGAATTGAGGCAGTTCTGAAGGCAAAAGGGGGTCCAACCCGTTACTAGCAGTGTTGTGCCTGAACGCGTTCATTGAACGAAAGTTCATGAACTCGTTCATATTTTGGGCAAACGTGAACTGAACGTGCTGCATTATTGCCTGATGAACGTTTTTGTGAACTCGTTCATTCTGGTGTCTGTGAACGGCACGCTCTCTCAGTTCAACTCCGTTCAATAGGTTGCCAGATTTCTATAAAGCCCTCCAGGCGACACCCCGGCTAAATCAAACCGTAAACAGGCCTTAATATGTAGCGGGAAAAACACCCAATCTGGCAACACCAGCTACCAGCCTCGTAGCCTACAGCCGCGTGCGTCATCAAAACAAAATGCAGCGTGGAAGCCACAGCAGCATGGAGGCGACTTAAAACAGGTTTATGACCAGGTGGTCGGTGAGGATGATGGCAACAAGTTTGCCCGCCGGCTTTCAGTAAAAAAATCCGCACTTCGGTAACCTTAAATTCCTACCTCAGCCTGGTCCCTCAGTTTGTGTTAGTAAAATCTTCTTGAGCGGAGGTCTTCAACAGGGGATCCGCGACCCCTAGGGGGTCTACGGAGGTACTGCATGTGGGTCTGCATGGTTAGTTGATATTTTTATATTCCCCCCCTGCATTTATTTCCCCCACTAATTGAAATGTCTTTAAATACTCATTAACATGAAATCAACACACTGTAGTAAACAGATAAATGGAGACAAAAGATGTCTTTCAGTCATCAATGCACACATTCAGCGACACACAGGAGCTCTTTCAAGCTGGGCACCGTTTCCTTCACAACAACCAGGAATCAGAATCAGAAAAACTTTAATAATCCCAGGGAGAAATTAATTTCTTTACATTACTCCATCTGTAATAAAGTGACTATAGGACACAATTTCATACAATATATATAGTTAGGGGGTCCCCGCTCCATCTCGCCATCAGTTTGGGGGTCCTTGGTCTGGAAAACATAGAAGACCCCTGTTCTTGAGGGTTTTACTATCCATGTAACTTGTTTGTTAAACCTGCCTGGTATAATTTTCCAGGATTCCAGTATTACATTTAGTATGTATTGAAATGGAATTTCAAATAGAAAAAATTATCAAAATAAAAAAAAAACATTTGCACCTTAAAGACTACTTTCCTATTTTTCTTTTAATAATTACTCATAAAAAAGACCATTCAAGCAGCACATTTTTCCTGATGTTTTTGAGAATATACTGTAGGGGTGAAAGCTGCAGCTGCTACTAGTGTGAAGTGATGGACAGCAACAAAGCGTTAAAGCAACAATGGGGAAATGCTGTCCCCTCAATGCTAATGTAAACCCTGGTTGGATAAGGATTCAAAACTGGATATGAAGATGAAATCTGATGCACAGTTTCAGAGTTACAACTGATAAAATAATTGCTGTCTGTGGTTCTACAGTAGGCTATGGTTTAATTGAGCAATATATGAAAAAAAAAAAAAAGAACTATGAACTAGTTCATTTTCTGGAATTGTGAACTATGAACTGAACTAGTTCATTTTAAAATGTGTGAACTGAACTTTGAACTAGTTCACGTAGAAAGAGAACTTTCCCAACACTGGTTACTAGCATGGGGTACCTAATAAAGTGGCCGGTGAGTGTATATTTGTCTTTTTAAGTAAAAAGTTAATTTGTTGAGGGTCACAAGGTCATAAGTTGACCCTGCAGAAACTTGGCAGAGTTGCATAACAGGATAAACCTCTTTGCAGAAGCTAGGAAATGTCAGCCTGAAATAGGCATTGCTTAACAGTGGCAAACAAGAGGTCAGTTCTCTGGAAACCAATGTTTTGTCCAGCAACCTTTTTTTTAATCTTTTGTAACCTCTTGTGCAAATGAATAGGCTCTACTCTATAAATCAAGGGGGGATGAGGAACCCCAGTTAGAGCTCACTGACAGAGTCTGTGTAACTGTGACGCTCTCCACCTGCAAGTGTTTGAATTGAAAGGTTGACCAGCATACCCACCCATAGTCAACACCCGTTTATCCCTTTAGTTCTGTACAAAAAATAAACTTTAAAGTACCTGATCGGGCATGTATCCCTGCAGTCATGTACAAAAAAACAATTTAATTACTTACCTTTTGGTTGTTATTTTGAGGCGTATTGCGATCTGATATAAATCTGTTTTTTTTTTTTGCACGACTAAAGGGATACACGTCCGTTGAGGTGGTTTAAAGTCTACTTTTGTACAAAACTAAAGGGATAAACGCAAATGTGACGTCTTCACTGCAAAAATGATCTAGAAATAAGTTCAAATGTCCCAAATCAAGTGTATTTACTCTTAGTTTTAGTAGTTAATTGGGATGATTTGCCAATGGAATGAGTATTTTTACTCTTAAAATAAAATAAATAGATAATATGCACTTGTAATAAAACAATAAAATTGCTTTTTCTTATTTTAAATGTAAATTTTCCTGTTTAATTGGCAAAGTGTCTCACTGACCTCCTCAATTCAAGACAAAAAGCACCTATTTTAAGAAAAAAATACTTATTTACATTTCATTTTTTTGCAGTGTTGATTAAAGGTATGCTGATCTGACAAAACACTGGTATGTGTAATTTTTAATTTAAAAGTTATTTTAAATTTAGATCATCTTTGTTCTTCTGGTTAGAGAGATTCTAGCAGTAGTTGAAGCAGCAATATCTCAGGATGTAAATCTGGAGCTTTAAATCATGGACAGGTCACAGTATCCCCATCCTGTGTGCAGAGAGCATCAGAAATTGCTTTAAAATTCGGTAATATTACTTCTGTGTGGTTTTCTTTACATGTAGAGCAAAATGGGTAACAACTGTAGACGTGTCTACAGTGACCGGTGTAATACACAAACTAATTAATGTCAATCTATGACCTCATTTTATGAGGCGTAATCTAATTTCAGTCTAAAATCTAGAGGTAAGTAAATATCCCTGCCGCCCTGTTGCATGCTGGTCATGAGGCCGAGCCGCTCTGGGGCGGGACCCAAACCGCTAGAAATG